GTACATCAGTTATATTCAATTGTACTATTCCGACTAAACTTGTCAATGAAACACTGCCAAATAGCGATGATACCCGGTCGGTGTTTATTTGGGAACTTCGGAAGTACAATACTGGCAAATATTATGGATAAAAACATCCGACGTTTCGAAACAGATTCTTGTACTGTTTTCAAACAGGAAATGAATCGAAACGTCCCACTGACAAATTATAAGAAGTTCTAATCCATAAAATGTGTCATTGTTGCTCGTTACAAGTATAGAACATCTCGAAGACATATGCAGTTTGTGAAACTAACACCATTGTAACGAATGGGTCGAACAGCGTTGTGTTGTAAGTGAAGGGACCGACATGAATACTTCGAAGTACATGTTTAGTGTGCTTTCACTTCAGGACAGCCCTAACCGGGTCAAGCAATAATGAACAGAGATCGAATACTGAGCATTATATTACATTTGTGACGTCATTCCATTGTCTGTTCGCTCCATTACTTTTCAGGAATGGAGCGATGTGTACCAGTTTCAAAATAAAACCTTCATTTTGTCATTTTGACATTTAATTTTGAAAACAGAAATATTCCCAATACTTCGAATGGGTAATATCCTCGTAACTCTCCATTCCTTAAAAATAATGTGCCTCGGCTCCATTATTGTTAAGGAATGGAGAGTTACTCGGGCATTACCCTCTACATAATGAACAGAGAAGGAATACTGAGCAATAATGAACAGAGAAGGAATACTGGAATACTGAGCAATAATGAACAGAGAGCAATAATGAACAGAGAAGGAATACTGAGCAATAATGAACAGAGAAGGAATACTGAGCAATAATGAACAGAGAAGGAATACTGAGCAATAATGAACAGAGAAGAGACTGATCTTTTACTTCGAGATAACCGTTAATTAAAATTTCGACACAAGAGCGTTTTGACTGTATCGTAGCGGATAGACCCGTGACGATCCGGGTTAGAATTTATCTTCAGTAACCCATGCTTGTCATACGAGGCGACTAACGGATGGTCAGGCTTTGTTGACACATGTCATCGGTTCCCAATTTCGTAGATTAATGCTCATGCTGTTGATCACTGGATTGTCGTGTCCAAACTCGATTATATACAGACCGCCGCCATACAGCAGGAATATTGTTGGGTGCGGCATAAAACTCAACTCACTCACTCGTAACGGATACACAGATAATTGTCGATGATCAAACAATGGGCGATCAGGTACACAGTCACTGATACCTGATCTGTCTGGATATCCACACCCTGCTGACTCGAACGTCCGGATGTGTCGAAATTACAAACTCGAGCTAACGTTGTCCTACTAATAAAATACGACATCGCCGAGTGTGTCTTCTTCCTATGCGACAATGACTAATAACATAATCAGAAAAATATCTTTGTACCAAGACAGGCGAGGATAGATCTGCATTATATGATTGTGGATACAATGTGTTCTTTGAGCGAGCGAACAGCGAAGAATATTCACAGTGTCACATTGACCCACAAGTCATCTCTGTAGACACATGACAGGCATTCATTACCTCCTTTCATGTAATGTTGAACTATAGAAGTCATTGTTCCTTCCTCACTGTAACCACTGTTCCGAATCACAACCTTTATCTGGAAGTATGTTGTGACACCAAAAAAACCCAAACTAGAACACATTTGTAAAACATGATCTTTAAAGTACTTCTGGCAAACAGAAACCTTTTCACATAGTTTTCCATTTGTCAAATATGCTCAGTAAACGAAAATGGATTACAGGCGAACAATCAACGACCTTAAACAATCAGTGATCAGTATGGAGCATATATGCACGTATATTGCTGCAACATATATTTTCGCTGTCCTAATAGACGGTAGCCCAGTTTCTTCCTCAGTTGCAAATCTATTCACGGCAGGAAATTCGCCCTTGCTTGCAGTGTCAGACCACAGCCAAGTTGGAGGGTTGGTTCCCTTTTACGATTGAATAGGAACTTTGCTCATAGTCGTTTGAACGATCTTTATAATTTGGCTTTGTTGTGGAAGTGCATATGTACAGACTACGTTCTATGAAGTCGGGTATCAGTTTCACCTTATGCGTGTTGTACGGGTGACGCTGTTGGTTTACTGGCGGGGGTGTATTTCAACCCTGCGCCCATTGAAGCATTCAGAAAGCCCGTTGCCATATGTAGTCGGTAAATCTGATACTACCTGTTGGGTGCTGAATTACGTGTTGCTGAGTACGGTCGCTGCAATATCGTGTGTTTGCTTGTGGTGAATTAACACTCAGCTGGGTGTGTCATTCTCGTTATTGAAGAAGGGAGAAGAGTTCTGTTAATAATATATATTAATGTTTCCGGGGTCAAGGCATGCGAATATATTTTAAGCATTTTCGAAATTGAGTTTGTATGTATGTATGTATGTATGTATGTATGTATGTATGTATGTATGTATGTATGTATGTATGTATGTATGTATGTATGTATGTATGTATGTATGTATGTATGTATGTATGTATGTATGTATGTATGTATTGATGTATGTATGCAGGCATGTATGTATGAGTGCGTATGAGTGTTTGAGTATGCGAGTGTGTTTGTGTTTGGGTGTGTGTGTGTTTGGGTGTGTATGTGTGCGTGTGGACACCAGGATCCAGTTCATGAGATTAGCAATAATATATAGTAAGCTGACCGGGATGAGGATGGTGATTCTAAAGAAGGAAAGTGATTAGGAAAAGGAATGAGGATGAAAATGAGTAGAGCAGTAAGGAAGCTAAATGTGTGCCGTGGTTATCTGTAGTGTTAAGGATGGGTTTTAGGATAAATGATGTCAGTTTAGTAATAGGAGGAGATGTGTGCTTGCTGTGACTGTGTAAGAAATATTTAATAAGCATTTCCGAAATTGTATGTATGTATGTATGTATGTATGTATGTATGTATGTATGTATGTATGTATGTATGTATGTATGTATGTATGTATGTATGTATGTATGTATGTAAGCATGCATGCATGTATGCATGCATATATGTGTGTGCATCTATGTGTGCCCATATGGGGAATCGAACCCGGGTCTTCGGCGTGACGATCGAACGCTTTAACCAATAGGCTACCTAACCGACCCCTTTTTATTCTAAATGATTATGAGTTATATGAAGGTTAACCTGTTCGAAACCCGGTTCCTCCATTTGTATTATCAATGGCATAAGTCACACAGGCCAAAAGCTCGGGCTTACATGATCATCCACTGGGAAGAGAAATCCCCATTTGTTCATAGGTCCTTGGTTTTTGTCAGTTATGTATCGCACACGTTTACACATTTATCTGATAATGGAAAAAAATGCGCAAGTCCGTGCATGCTCATATGTAATGTAAATTTGACAACTGAATTAATCCCTGTCATAGCACAGGACGTGTCTCGGTCGTGATCGACTATGAATCAGCAAGATTTATGAACACACATGGAGGTGTGCAGTAACCCTGCAGGCGACCTATATCCAGGATTTGCACGATTTTGAAGCGAATGCAGCAGTTGTACCGAGATGCAGAATGATGTGCATTACGAATGATTTCTACTTGCTTAATATCCCTCCCTTCATGTGGGATACACAAATGCTAAAAACATAAAAATAGATGACCTTGACCCTTTTCACATTGCCTGTGGACAGTAAATGTATGTTAAAGTAAACACTTACAATCACATTGTTGCAATCGGGCCCTGGAACTTTCAACATGTAAACATAATTATTGTAACGAAATCAGATTTAAATATGATGTTTAGCATTGTGGTATTAAATACAGTATTGTTCTAAACATTGTAACCAATAAGGTATAAATAGTAAACGATATTTCAATATTGAAATGTTGAAAGTGGCCGTGTTGATGTATGTGACAGGGTTGAATGTGTGGGCTAGGGGTTTGAACAGTATTTCAGTTAATTCAGTTGATCTGGTACAGGTTTAAGACATATACCTCTTTCGTGAAACTGGAGCATGGTGCTGGCAAACCTTAAAACATAGCCAGGAGCTTCGAACCCACGATCTAAGGAACTGAGCTCAGATAACCCTATACACACGCTTTGAGTATTTTAACTTATGAAAGGATATTAGATATAATTTCACCATCCTAGATTAACCATTCTCGAGTTGACAGCAGGTGTACTACATGGCAATCGTGGATGCTGTCTTTTGCAATCAAGGTATATCGCGTTGATTTATTTTGTGACGTTTCAAAACATTTTAAGGTCAATGATTTCTCCATAATGTCGTGCTTATCCGTGAAGGTGACCGCTATCCTCAAATTGTCTAGTACCTTAATATGCTGGTCGTGATAGGTGATTTAATGGATGGCATTTGTTTCTGAAATGTCATTGTTGCTGATTGGCGATTTAATGGATTGCATTTGTTTCTGAGATGCTTATGATATCAATCACTGGTTTGTCTGGTCCTATCTCGAGGCTCCATCATTTACCTATCGCTTTCATATAGCTTGAATATTGGTAACGTTAATGTGATCGAATGTGATCCACGACCCAGTACAAAGGTCTGATTTCATTAAAAGAAACATACCCCTGAAGTTTGTTGTTACATATGTTTAAACAGTAATAGACAGTTATTGTTAGAGACACTACATATTGATGACAAACACTATAGTATAGGAAACAGTCATTGTATGCTTGTACAACATTTGTTTTCATTTACTCAACGTCTATTTTTTAAACATGTTTTCGGTTATTAATGTATCCCGGAAAGCAGAGAGACAGAATTGTCCAAGCTGCATGTGCGATTTGTCATAATGATCCCTAGTTTGTTAACCGCCCTCTCCTCTCTCTCTCTCTCTCTCTCTCTCTCTCTCTCTCTCTCCTCTCTCTCTCTCTCTCTCTCTCTCTCTCTCTCTCTCTCTCTCTCTCTCTCTCTCCCAGATTTCACGAAAGTAGGAAACGTTAAAACGTATTATTTCATTTTGAATACTCTCAAAGCGGCGTAAAACTTCACTCACGTAGTACCCTTTGCGTTTCAGTATACCTACCATTTGTAAAGGAAGTGCGACCAGGTCTCAACACACCGGACTTCGAACGCTGGCCAGATGAAGCAGCTAAGTATGACCCTAACATGGCCTTGGGCATCTTCCACGGCCTGGAGTTTAATCTCTCCTGTCTGTCTATAGTGGGTAAGTAACTTAGAAAGGCATTTAGAAGTTGAAGCAGTAATGAAGTGTAACAATATATGGATAAACGTCTTTTTTTCCAGTGAAAGCGACGTTTTAGTGTGGGTTCTAACACCGTTATCAAGCAACAGACTAAAGATGGAGAGGCATATATATACAAGTGTAGGGATGTGTTTGTACCGTACGATAGGTAGTACCTTAGTACCTTAAGTACGTTACGACGGGCATGAATAATATTATTCCCCGGTGCATTGCTTATCCTTTGAAGATCCGGGTTAGAATAGATCTTCATGTTTGTCGTAAGAAGCGACTAAAGGGATCGGATGGTCAGGCTTGGCACATGTCATCGTATCCCAATTGCTTAGATCGATGCTCATGTTGTTGATCACTGGATCGTCTGGTCAAGACTCGATTGTTTACAGACCGCAGCCATATAACTGGAATATTGCAGTGCGGTGTAAAACTAAACTAAACTCACTCACCTGGACGCATCTAAAATTGTATTAATAACTCAAAGCTCAAATGTACAGATCTTTGAGTTCGCTGAAACCTTCCTTGAACACCTATATGAACCTACCTACCCTGTATTTATACAAGGGATCAGACGTTCTGTTAAAAGCATTAGAAATGTAAATGTTTTATAACTATTTGATCCAATTCTACCATATACCATCCATATCTTTGGTACAAAAAAAGTGTCGGCAACATATTCAGAACGATAAGGACAAATCTGTGGAATCTGTTCAGCGGGTGCAAGCCAGCTTCACAATAACACCACATGATTGTATTGGGTTGTTTCGTTACAATTCGACGCGATAGATGGGGGTAGAGGGTAAATATTGAGATGGCATTCACGTCAGGTGAATACATAGGAACTGACCGACTGTTGTTTGGCATTCAATTTCATAATCTTAGTAAGAACTTCGAATTTCTATTTTAATTAGTACTAACATCTCACACTTTCAATGTACCCCGCAATGTCTTAGTATGTAGTCATGTATTTATAAATTATCTATTGCTAAATTCACACACGTCTCACAATTCCCATGTGTCAATGTAAGGTCTTCGTATCTAGTAGTGTATTCATAGACTGTCCAGTACTAAATTCACACACGTCTCACACTTCCCATGTGTCATTGTAAGGTCTTCGTATCTAGTAGTGTATTCATAGACTATCCAGTACTAAATTCACACACGTCTCACACTTCCCATGTGTCAATGTAAGGTCTAGTATCTAAATTCACACAAGTAGTGTATTCATAGACTGTCCAGTACTAAATTCACACACGTCTCACACTTCCCATGTGTCAATGTAAGGTCTAGTATCTAGTAGTGTATTCATAGACTGTCCAGTACTAAATTCACACACGTCTCACAATTCCCATGTGTCAATGTAAGGTCTAGTATCTAGTAGAGTATCTAAATTCACACAAGTCTCACACTTCCAATGTATGTGTATTCATAGACTGTCCAGTACTAAATTCACACACGTCTCACACTTCCCATGTGTCAATGTAAGGTCTTCGTATCTGGTAGTGTATTCATAGATTGTCCAGTACTAAATTCACACAAGTGTCACACTTCTCATGTGTCAATGTAAGGTCTTCGTATCTAGTAGTGTATTCATAGACTGTCCAGTACTAAATTCACACACGTCTCACAATTCCGTATGCTACTGGAACGTCTTCGTATCCAGTCGTGTACTTAAAGAACATTTTGCACTAAATTCACACATTCTCACACTATTCATATGTTCATGCGAGGACTTCGTATTTAGCCGTGTATTCATAGACGATTTACTACTAAATTCACACAGATCTCTCACTTTCCACATGGCCCTGGAATGCCATGTAGATCTAGAAACCTCCACCTTTGTCCTGAAAGTATAGATACAAATTCTTTCCACACCATATTTTAAGGAATATTGGTTTATTATTGTCGTAAATAACCTGTCTTCAGATAAGCCTAAATGGATCCTGTAGTCAAGATTGATCTTAACCTAAATATGAAGGTGAAAGGTTATTGTTGTGAAACACAATATGGTTTTTAGGAATCAGAAACTTAATTCATTGTTCTGAGACAATGCATTTTTTAAAGAAAACCTTGTGCATGCCTCTGTATGATTTAAGCCTTGGACCCCAGTGACTACCCTGCTTTAAAGGAAGGAATTACACAACTCATCAGGGAAGCCATGGTTTCGTCATACCAAATACAGAAGGAAAGGTAACTCACTCATACATGTGTATCTGAGTGAGTGAGTGGGTGGTTTGAGTAAACGAGAGAATATGCACTTCTGTGATCGAGAGTTTGAGTGCTTTTCTGAGTTTCTATACAAGTGTTCATGGCACAATCACGTGTGTGTATGCGTGTGTGCGTGTGTTCCTAATTATGTCAGCACTCACGTGTCAGTGCATGTTGCATGTGTGTGTTTGTGTTTGAGTGTGTGTGTGTGTGTGTGTGTGTGTGCGTGTGTTCATAACGTTGCATGGGTTGATATGTGTCTACACTTGTATGTTTATGTGTCAGAATGTTACTTTGTACTGTTTCCAGTTGTAATGATGGTCTGAGTAAAAAACACGTAAAAGTAAAAAACAAAACAAACCCGGTTCACTCTTAAGACTTTTCCCATTATGACTTAAAGATAAAGGGGTAAACGAGCTTACTTATAGAAAAGTGGGCTTTTCGTATCATAATCTGTGTCCGTAGTCTGCCTATAAACCATGTCTAACAAAGATAGTTTCTCACAGAGATTAACATACAGAAAAATCTGTGAGCTCTTTTGTCTGATGGTAAGCCGAATGGTGGAGTGTTCGATCACTCCGGATAACGCAGATGTTTCCTCATACTTTCCGTCACTGGTTTATTCGGTCCTGAGATGATGATGATGATGATGATGATGATGGTGGTGGTGATGGTGGGTGTGGTGATGAGTGAGTGAGTGAGTACGTGCGTTGGGTTTTTGCCTCAGCAATATTACGCCGGGGGGACACCAGAAATGGGCTTCACACTTTGTACCCTTGTGGGGAATAGAACCCGGATCTTCGACGTGAAGAGCGAACGTTTTAACCACTAGGCTACCCTACCGCCTTGATGATGATGATGATGATGATGATGATGATGATGATGGAGGTGGTGGTAATGATGGTGATGATGACGTCTTATTATCAATATTATTGCCTACATATTGTGTTTAGATGGCTGTGGAAAGAGTTTTACAAGATTCAGAAAAACGAAGCCAGCGCGTATGGGACGGACCGGCTTTCGAAACAGTTCTTGTAAGTAAACGATGATTAAACAGTAAATTTACACCATAATCACCGAGCGTAATTTCCAGCCAGAGTTGAAGCTACCAGTCAAACGAAATTTAAACTGAAATATTAAACATAACATGAAGCTATTGAAATATAGTATAAACATAAAAATGTGAATAGATTGATAGAAAAAGTGTGTTAATTGACAAATCATATCAGTTTTGCTAAATTTTCATTTTCATATTAAAGCTACTGACTAAAAACTGTGGAACTTATGATAAATATGTTAGATTTCCTATTTTAGTATTTTAGAGATTATGTCGAGCATATCTGTAACGGTATTTGTTATTTCCAGCATCAAAAGTCTAAGCGAACTAAAGTCGTGGCTGTCTAAGATGAACTATAAGCTGAAACAAAAGGAAGCCAAACGTCTGCTCAAGGTACTATGGGTCGAAAACTCTCATGTTTAGTTATTCCTGCGGATGAAGTTCTTTGATCACATTGTACATTTGACACATTTGCACCGAACGATCCCCCACGAGATATGATCAAATCTGATTTAACTCATATATGAGTATAGTATTTTGTGTGATCTGCTCTAACGCCACGAGTGAGTGAGTGAGTTTAGTTTTACGCCGCTTTTAGTAATATTCCTGCAACATCACGGCGGGGGAAACCAGAAATGGGCTTCACACATTGTACCCTTGCAGGGAATCGAACCCTGGTCTTCGGCGTGACGAACGAACGCTTTAACCACTGGGCTACCCCACCGTCCCTCTAACACCACAAAGTCAGCGTTACAAACACTGCTGGCCAAAATGTAATACATTCACTGACAATAGCATAGCATGATTGGATTGGGTGGGTCCATTAGCAATGCAAGGGTGCAGTAAACAGGAACTCAGATCCAATCAGTTCCAGTTTTGGTTCTTGCACCTTCAAACCCATACCCGTGGGTCTCAACAAAATGGCCAAAGTCCAGGAAGTACACACACACACGCACGCACGCACGCACGCACGCACGCACGCACGCACGCACGCACGCACGCACGCACGCACACTCTAGTCGTGCGCCGTTATATAAATGAAATACCTTTAAATGCGGCGTAAAACATAATTCACTCACTCAATCGCTCATTTATTCCCTCACACACCTGTGAAGATCCAAGACTTCAGCAACTTATGCTTGTCCTAAGTGGCGACTTAGGGTTCGCGTTGTCAGGCTTGCTGTCATATGATGACGTATGACGTCGCATCCCATTTGTGTAGACCGATGCTTCCGTTGATCACAGCATTGTCTGGTCAAGACTCGATTATTTGCAGACCACCGTCATATAGCTGGAACATTACTGAGATTTAAACAAATAAATAAACAAACGTCTTTGGTTTCACACATGTCCAATGCGTGCTTTCTGAACCATGTCCTCTCCTTTAGATGGCTGGGCCTTCAGTGTTCTAACATATACTGTCCTGAAGCAATCATACAGATGTTCTGTATCTATTTTAAATCAAACCTCAGAATCGGCTTTCTTTTATTTACTTATCGTCACACTCAGGAATATTGAAAATAATCGACTCAGGATCTGACTAAACAATGCCTGATATTGTATTAACCACGCAACGCTGCGTTACTTCAAAGTTCCTAACCCTGACCACCAAATCTGTTAAAAGTCTTCTCAACGCATATGTTGCTTGGCACCAGTTCTAACGTGCAGTCCCTATGTCGTTAGCACAACTCGTTTGGCTTTAATTATAAAGATTTTACTCCTTACTCTGTCATTTTCCGGCTGGCTGTGCGATCTACAGTTGCCTCCCTTATAATGTTCATCAAAGCACTCTCGTCATTAAACTCGTGTTGACACCATAAACTAGATTAGTTAGTAGTCAACTTAAATATGAACAAATCATACTCTACTAATTGTATCCTCACAATCCCCAAAACGGAAAACTTCAGTTTTAGGAATCCAGTGTGCAAGTTACAATGACCGGTTAGACCAACATGCATTTTGTTTATATGGTTGTTTAACGCCACTCTCAACAATTTTACGGTTATATAAACTTAAGGTATGCTGTAAATAATGATCGGGGTCAGAAAATCCAGTGATTGACATCACGAGCATCGGTGTACGCAATAGGGGTATGATGTCACTTATTATACGTATCACATCTGGCATTCGCCTCTTACAACAAGCACGGAATGCTAAGATCGGATGACTTGAACGTTTAAACAGTCTTCTCAGTACCGAATCCTTCCTGCTGAATTGTTCTTTTAATTTGATGAAATCTCATTCAGTCTCTTCTTGCTTTTTTGTTGGCAGCAACTCAAGCTCAAGGAAAAAATGGTTTTCCAAGAATTTTACATGGTATTTGAAGAACTCATTCACTCGGGTGATGTAAGTTGATTGTTATTGTTGCACAGTGTGCGATGTAATAATAATTCAAAGTAATGTATTTGTTATTATTGCACATGATTCATCAATGTTGCACAGAAAGTTAATTTTTGTCAGCAAACAGTAAGGTATTATTATTATTGACCAGTAAGGTATATGTTGTTATTGAACACTGAGGTATTTGTTGGTATTGAACAGTAAGATATTTGGTATTTTTGAATGGTAAGATATTGGGTATTATTGACCAGTAAGGTATATGTTATTATTGAACACTAAGGTATTTCTTAGTATTGAACAGTAAGATATTTGGTATTATTAAATAGTAAGATATTGGGTATTATTAAACAGTAAGATATTTGTTATTATTGAACAGAAAGGTATTTGTTGGTATTAAACAGTAAGGTTTCTGTTCTTATTGAACAGTAAGGTTTTTGTTGTTATTGAACAGTAAGGTTTCTGTTATTATTGAACAGTAAATGTATTTGTTATTATTGAACAGTAAGATATTTGGTACTATTGAACAGTAAGATATTTGTTATTATTGAACAGTAAAGTATTTGTTGTTATTGAACAGTAAGGTATTTGTTATTATTGAACAGTAAGATATTTGGTACTATTGAACAGTAAGATATTTGCTATTATTGAACAGTAAGGTATTTGTTATTATTGAACATTAAGATATTTGGTACTATTGAACAGTAAGATATTTGTTATTATTGAACAGTAAAGTATTTGTTGTTATTGAACAGTAAGGTATTTGTTATTATTGAACAGTAAGGTTACTGTTATTATTGAACAGTAAATGTATTTGTTATTATTGAACAGTAAGATATTTGGTACTATTGAACAGTAAGATATTTGTTATTATTGAACAGTAAAGTATTTGTTGTTATTGAACAGCAAGGTATTTGTTATTATTGAACAGTAAGATATTTGGTACTATTGAACAGTAAGATATTTGCTATTATTGAACAGTAAGGTATTTGTTATTATTGAACATTAAGATATTTGGTACTATTGAACAGTAAGATATTTGCTATTATTGAACAGTAAAGTATTTGTTGTTATTGAACAGTAAGGTATTTGTTATTATTGAACAGTAAGGTTATGTTATTATTGAACAGTAAATGTATTTGTTATTATTGAACAGTAAGATATTTGGTACTATTGAACAGTAAGATATTTGCTATTTTATTGAACAGTAAAGTATTTGTTGTTATTGAACAGTAAGGTATTTGTTATTATTGAACAGTAAGATATTTGGTACTATTGAACAGTAAGATATTTGCTATTATTGAACAGTAAGGTATTTGTTATTATTGAACATTAAGATATTTGGTACTATTGAACAGAAAGATATTTGTTGTTATTGTACAGTAAAGTATTTGTTGTTATTGTACAGTAAGGTATTTGTTATTATTGAACAGTTAGATATTTGGTACTATTGAACAGTGAGATATTTGGTACTATTGAACAGTAAGATATTTGCTATTATTGAACAGTAAGGTATTTGTTATTATTTAACAGTAACATACTGTTATTATCGAACAGAAGATGTTTGTTATTATTAAACAGTAAGATGTGTGTCATTATTGAACAGAAATTAAGGTATTTGCCGTTATTGAACAGTGAGGTATTTGCCGTTATTGAACAGTGAGGTATTTGTTATTACTGAACAGTAAGGTATTTGTTATTAATTAACAGTAAGGTATGAATCATTATTGAACAGTGAGGTATTTGTTACTATTGAACAGTAAGATATTTGTTATTATTGAACAGTAAGATATTTGGTAGTTTTGAACATTAAGGTAATTGTTGTTATTGAACATTAAGGAATATGTTTTTATTGAACATTAAGGAATTTGTTATTATTGAATAGTAAGGTATTTGTTATTACTGAACAGTAATATGTTTGTTATTATTGAACAGTAAGATAATTGGTATTATTGAACGGTAACATATTTGGTATTATTGAACATTTGGGTATTAGTTGTTATTGAACAGTAAAGTATTTGCTATTATCGAACAGAATATATTTGTTATTTTTGAACAGTAAGATGTGTGTCATTATTTGAACAGAAGTTAAGGTATTTGTTGTTATTGAACAGTGAGGTATTTGTTGTTATTGAACAGTGAGGTATTGTTATTATTGAACAGACGATAGTTGTTATTATTGAACAGTAAGATATGTGTCATTATTGAACAGACATTAAGGTATTTGTTGTTATTGAAGAGAAGTTATTTGGTACTATTAAAAAGTAAGATATTTGTTATTATTGAACAGAAGATATTTGTTATTATTAAACAGTAAGATAAGTGTTATTATTGAACAGAAATTAAGGCATTTGTTGTTTTTTAACAGTGAGGTATTTGTTGTTATTAAACAGTTTGGTATTCGGTATATTGAACAGTAAGGTTTTTGTTATTGTTGAACAGTAAGGTATTTATTGTTATTGAACAGTAAGATATTTGGTATTATTGAACATTCATGTATTTGATGTTATTGAACAGTAAGATATTTGGTATTATTGAACATTCATGTATTTGATGTTATTGAACTGTAAGGTATTTGTAATTATTGAACAGTAAAGGTATTTGTTATTATATTACTGTAAGCGATTTCTGATTGTTGCACAGTAACATAAAGTATGTGTTATTACTACACAATATTTTGCGCTGTAACATTTTTATTTTGTATTTTAAAGTTCGTATTTATTGTTACAATATATTTTATCATAACTTGATTGTAAGCCATTTATTATTATCACACTTAATCATATCTGTTTAGTCGTATTTTGTTCTAAAATATTTTGACGGATATTGCTATATAAAAGAATTAAGTGGTACAAGTGCACAATAATAAGTTAAACGATAATTTCATTACTGCGAGTAATTAGATATGCGTTGATAATTTGTAATTATTTTACTGTAGGGTATTGATTGCAATATCTTTATATGCTAAACACAGAATTCCAATAAGACTGTTTTATTAGATATAAACTAAGGAGCTAAAGATATCTACCTCTCGGTTGATTTTATGTTGTTTATTTTTCAAACTGCGGCAGGAATGAGTGATGGTTAAAAAGAAAAGGTCAAATTTATCAACAGTGCTTTCAATTTTAATTTAAATAAAACAAAAAAAACTGTATATTTTTCTTGCAAACACTTTGATTTAAATTGTCCTTCTTGTTTTTCAGATAATCACCAACCATTTCAATCAGTATTTATGTGGAAGGGTCGGCGAAAGGTAACTAGAATAGCAGTCAAGATGAGACAAGATGAATTCCTATATTGCAAAATAGTTCTATATTTTGTACAGTGAGCCAAACTTCGTTAGGCCAGTCCCCGTCATTCCAGGCGCCGTTAGTCCAGACCCCATCATTCCACACCACGTTCACCAAAGTCATCTTAGAAAACGACACACAATTAACACAAAACCTAAAAACGACCTTTTTCACTTATTGCGATAAATGTTTTTAATAAAACTGTTGAACTATTTATATTTCCAGGCGAATGGATCCAGACAATTTCGTCTCATTTCTTGAGGAAGATCAAAAGGTATGATTTCTAAGAAAGTGCAATCCCAAAGATAACATATGTTATGCTTCTATGTGCAGACGAAACAAATTTAAGATGACATAAACTTTATTCTTGTCCGTGATAATTCGTAAAAGACTGAAACAAACAAAAGGTTCCAGTCAGAACACAATCTAGAAACATTTTCTTAAAATATACTCATGCCAATAATGGTTGTCACCCTCTTCAATTTTTTCAATTGGAGCGGGGGTGTGGGTTGGGGGTACGAGGTGACAACCATTATTGACATGAGTATACAAGCTGAAAGCATACTTCACAATGTAACGACTGCGTAGCTACAGTGAAGCGCTAGCGTGGCTGATATCTTGAGATTTTACGTCCCCTTCAAATTGACAAATTGGACATGAAGGCTATGTGTACACTCATGTGTAACACGAATTAACACTAGGTGAAAATATCACTGTTTACGCTACACAGGAATATGTTAACATTAGAAATAAATATAAAATACCATTTATAATACTAACTTACTCTGAACAGAGCTCAAACATACTGTACTGCGCGGGATGGAAAACTGATACGGGTGCACATTTTGAAACATAAACAAACCTTATGGAAACTGACATGTAAAGACTGTTATGGAAACACCATCTAGGTAATGTTATACATCATTTACAACACATACATACATTTTGGTGGCCTATTTTCACTGTTAGTGGGATGGACTCCCGGTCCTGTTGTAAGTTTGCCATTTCGGCCTGTTTCCGTGTGCGTTTAACTAAGGGAGGTAACTTAAACGCGAAATTAAAAATAACGGAACGAAACACCACACACTGTTTTGTTATAATAACTCAAGCTGACAAAGAAAACATAGGATGATACATGTATGTTATTCATTTGATATCATTCTACTTACACACAACTATCGTAGTTAATTAATATCAATATGAATTGAATAAGTGAGTGACTGTTGTATTAGTCAGTTTCTATCATTCATTGCGATATGTAAAACAGTGTTGATTAAATAAACAAAATCTGGTGATTGACAGTATGAGCAACGATCTACGACATCGGACATCGGGTCACGGTGACCGGCTCTCAGCCACATCACCCTGTTGGCCTTCAGTGCTCTTATATTGACCTTTTAGAAACGGATAGGGAACTAGGGCTAATTTCTATACCAGAGTTCGCCTGTGATTCAGTTTGATCAACCAATATTCTGTCACATAAACTGATGACCATGTTGTTTCCTTGCAGGAAACGTTTTCAGTGGAATCGTCCAAACTGATGATCAAACATTTTGTTGATGATCAAATGAGGGGTACGCTTGGAACGATGCACTTCACAGAGAAAGAGGTTTGTGAACACGTTGACTCGTTTATATTTATGAAAGACTTGCCAAGGAATTGCAAATGTGATACAAAACTAAGAACAGTAACAAGGGTTCTCAATTTGGGCTGAATGTCCTCCATTTAAAATCAGCATCAATTTAGTGTGTGTTTGTGTGTTTTTGATTGGAGAGTAGCATCGGTTATTGCGTTGAGAATCATGGCGCAGGTATAATGAGATACCTCATCGCAGTTCAGCATGGATACCCCACTTAACTCGGTCTGTAAAATATTCGAGTCTGACCGGACAATCCAGAGACTCACACACAAAACATCGATCTGGAAAACGATGACATGTGTCAACCAAGTCAGCGGGCCTGAACACCAGATCATGTTAGTCGCCTTTACGACAAGCATGGGTTGCTGAAGATCAGTTCTAACCCGGATCTTCACGGGTGGTCAATGAAGGGGCGACCAGCTTAGTCAGCAGTCCCAGTCAGTGCCTTTCGTATTGCTCTTCGACGAGTAATAAATGTTAGCTAAATGTCACCCGATTCCGTTAGTCACCTGGCTGAAGATCAAATTTAATTGGATCTTCACGGGAATTGATGTTTTGCAAAATTAGTACGACGCATATCCTCATGTAATAATATGTATGTGGTGGTGTGTTGTCCTGTGCATAGGTCACAAATTACTTAAAGTTAACCAAGGTTGGGCGCGGAGAGTCCTTGGATCGGTGACCACGTTTGGCAGCTTGACTCCTGAGATTCTAGGACTTCAGTCCTGTCTCACAACGAAGCACATGTGATACATGTGATCACACCTTAGGCAACTGAGTTTGTTCAAAATTACCTCTGTGCACCCAGCAGAAAATGGGTACCCGGTGGGATAAGTCATGTAACTATAACCTTCTAGCGCCTAACAGGCAGGTTATCCGCGGAGTAATAAAATGTTAGCGTTTGACCATGCACAAATGTGTGGAAACAGGCGCTTTATATTGGGCATTATTGTTATTATGTATATCCTCTCCCTCCTGCAGTTCTATGACTACCTCCTGTCCCCCGACAACAGCGTGTGGAACCCGGAACAGGATCAAGTCACCATGGACATGTCCCAGCCTCTCTGTGACTACTGGATAGCCTCTTCTCACAACACGTCAGTGACGCCATTTTGAATTTTAACGTTATTTTCTTCTGTACCGGTTTATATTGGAGGGCAAAAGTTTTGAGTGGTTAAAGTTTTGTCGGGTAGTCAAGTGGATAAAGCATTCGCTCGTCGTGCCGAAGACTGTTCGATTCATGTCATGGGTACAATATGTGTCGCCTATTTTGTAGTGTCCCCAGTCGTGATATTGCAGGAATAGTGCTGAAACCTTCGTATAACCATACAAAAAGGATGTCATTTTAACGCTAATTATTTGTCGGCGTCCTCAGTGTTTAATAAACAGCAGCGTCCTTAAATTCAGTGCTGGCTTAGCTACTCGAGGATACAAGCACGTATTTCAGGACTGCATTAATCGACCAAGGGAGATAACTCACATCTTTCACAACTCTAAAACGTGTTAGAGATTGCAGGGAGTGAGTGTGAATGAATTTAGTTTTACGCCGCCTTTAATAATAGTCCAACAATTTCACCACGGGGGACACCAGAAATGGGCTTCACTCTTTGTACCCATGTGTGAAATCGAACCCGGGTCTTCAGCGTGACGAACGAACGCTTTAACCATTAGACTACCATGCACGCCCGTGCAAGGGGATTTTACCCAACTTAGAGGCACACAACAGAATGTTCGAAGATGCGTTAACTCACTCACTCACTCTACAAAGAGAGATTCTTTCAAAGTTCAAAGTGATATTACTGCAGAAAAGAGGTATTTTGGAAAATAGTTACTATTGGAATATATTCGTCTTTGTCACAACTGGGTACTGTGGTGATCGTGTTTCAGGTACTTAACAGGCAATCAGATCAACAGCGATTCCTCCGTGGAGACGTACGCTAGAGCTCTACGTATGGGATGTCGATGTGTGGAGTGTAGGTGTTCTCATCCTAAACTGGTTTTAGTCAAGTATAACGAAAAAGCATATGTCTCAAGTATAACGAAAAAGCATATGTCTCTTTCATATATGTGCTTTTCACTAAGGCGACGTAGTCCGCCGAGGAGAGTTCAAACCTAGGACAAGAAACGTATATATGTATGTATGTTAGATAACATACTGTACTAGCTGTATTAGACAACATATATTACTAGTTATGTGTAGTTTGCCGAGGAGAGTTCAACCCTAGGACAAGAAACCTACATATGTATGTATGTTAGATAACATACTGTACTAGCTGTATTAGACAACATATATTACTATAAAAGTTCAACCCTAGGGCAAGAAACGTATATGTATGTAGTTTAACCTGAGGTAGACAACATATCATACCCAACCCTAGTACAAGAAACCTATATATGTATGTATGTTAGATAACATACTGTACTAGCTGTATTTTAGACAACATATATTACTTGCTATGTGTAGTTTGTCGAGGAGAGTTCATCCCTAGGGCAAGAAACGTATATATGTTTGTGGGTTCGAATCCCCATTGTGCTTCTGCGGTTGTCAACACCACATCCATTCCGTGACTATCAACAAAATGGTAAACGTCTGCTACCTGCATCACTTCGAGCTCTCCGTATGCACCATTACGGGAATACGTAATACGGAGGCGTTAAACCCAAACCGTTTACTCAGTTGTCACTAAGTAATCTATTACCCGGGTCCAGGGTCCCGATCCACAAAATGTTCGTAACGTTACGACATTCGTAAGCCTGTGATAAACTCATAGTATAGAGATACGACAGGTCGTAACTTTACGAACGCTTTGGGGCTCAGGACCCTGTCTTCTTAGACATGCAGTGGAAATGCAATGTGCAGAGTTGCGCCCCTTACCGTACCAGGATCGGATGGTCAAGGGTTTCCTATTCCAGATCCAGAACGACCACAACCATTTAAACGTTCATCCAGTATCAAGAATGTATGTGGTCATGTAACAGCGTTTAACTACCTTCGCACTTTTCTTTTACCGAGCCCACTTGTCTCTGTTTTAATGTATCACGTATTTTCGCCAGTGGACTGTTGGGACGGGGCAGACGGCATACCACTCATCAGACACGGCGGCAAGGTGTCTTTAACAAGAAGTGTCAGATTCGATGACGTAGTCAAGACAATCCATGCCAACGCGTGGCAAACTTCAGAGTAAGTAGATAAAACATTGTCCTCCTAAACTATATCATGGCCACAGTTGCAACAATGTGTTTGACAACATATTTGTTAGCTAACATATTTGACTAGTCATGCGTTAGATGTTAGATATTACTAGCTATGTGTTAGCTAACATATTTTACTAGTTATTTGTTAGCTAATATATTTACCAGTTATTGTTAGCTAATATATTTTACTAGTTATTGTTAGCTAATATAATTTACTAGTTATGCTTTAGCTAACATATTTTACTAGTCATGCGTTAGATGTTAGATTTTACTAGCTATGTGTTAGCTAACAAATTTTACTAGGTATTTTACTAGCTCTGTGTCAGCTGACATATTTTACCAGTTATTTGTTAGCTAACATATTTTACTAGTTGTTTGTTAGCTAACATATTTTACTAGTTATGTGTTAGATGTTAGATTTTACTATGTTTTAGCCAAACAAATATTGCTAGCTGTGTGTCAGATTACATATAGTACCAGATTTCACCAATTATGTATTAGATATCTGCTAGATAACAAATACTACTAACTATGTGTTAGATAACATGTGTGTTAGCTAACATGTATTACTCGTTACAAATGTATGTGTTAGCTAACTTTATTACTAGTTACAAATGTATGTGTTAGCTAGCATGTATTACTCGTTACAAATGTATGTGTTAGCTAACATTTATTACTCATTACAAATGTATGTGTTGGCTAACATTTATTACTCGTTACAAATGTATGTGTTAGCTAACATTTATTACTCGTTACAAATGTATGTTTTAGCTAACATTTATTACTCATTACAAATGTATGTGTTGGCTAACATTTATTACACGTTACAAATGTATGTGTTAGCTAACATTTATTACTCGTTACAAATGTATGTGTTAGCTAGCATTTATTACTCATTACAAATGTATGTGTTAGCTAACATTTATTTCTCGCTACAAATGTATGTTTAAGCTAACATTTATTACTCGTCGAAGAGCAATACGAAAGGCACTGACTGGGACTGCTGACTAAGCTGGTCTCCCCTTCATTGACCACCCGTGAAGATCCGGGTTAGAATTGATCTTCAGCAACCCATGCTTGTCGTAAAGGCGACTAACATTATCTGGTGTTCAGGCTCGTTATCCTGTTGATCACCGGATTGCCTTGTCCAGACTGGATTATGTACTGACCGACGCAACATAGTTGGAATGTTGTTGAGTTCCGCGTTAAACAATACACGGAAAATTGTAATATTTTAATCATTTGTATGTCTTGTCCCAGATTCCCCGTGATCTTGTCCTTGGAGAATCACTGTAGTCTTCCTCAGCAGAGGCACATGGCACAGGTCCTAAAAGATACATTCAAAGGTGCGTGTTATGTACTGTGTGGTGGTAGTTACAGGACATGGGACATCTGAAAGTGCATTTGGATATTTGTGAGTGTGGTTTTACGTAGTGGTGGTCCGATTAATTGAAATAATCGAAGATTGGTCGCAGTGACTAAACGACCAGGCAATCGATCATGTTTTCTCATAATCGAACACAAACAATTCTGGAACACATGTTTTCATCAACAATATTTTTCACAAGGTTGGTTTTGTTTGTTACATTTCATAAGCACTACAAACTTGTTCCAAGTCATCAATGAATTTATCTTAAAGACATCAAGAAATTTATGTTGTAAGATGTGAAATTTTGCCCAAAACCCCCCTCAAAATATGTACATGTTTTTTTCCTTATATTTTTGTGCATTAACAAATTTCATAAATGACGCTAACCAATTATTTTCGATGATTGATCTGTGGTAATGAACCAATCATTAATTATGACATTTTAACCAATTCCCAACACTAGTTTTACGCCGCATATAGCAATACTCCAGCAATATCATGGCATGTGACGCCAGAAATCCGTTTCAATCACTGTACCCATATGGAGAATCGAACACCGGTATTAGGCGTGACGAGCGAACGCTTAAACCACAAGACTATTGGAACAGCATATCAACATGTTTATGATCTCGTGGATGAATGACATCATTCTTACTTTGACCAAGTGACAAGATGGCCATAATTGGCTGACCATAGTTGCTTAAAGGATCGTCGTTCAAAGGATCATTTCACCATGGGTGCTACCCGTGATTTACCTTGATGATAATCCTTGATTGTTATTCGAAGTATTTCATTTGCGCAACCTGACTGGGGACATTTCTAAATTTGAATCAGTGGGGATCATATCCCCGAAGTTCATAGTTAACAACTATAAGAAAGACAACTGTCCGCCTGTAAACCCATGAGCAAAAACACCTCTGGGAAATGCTATGGATCTCATCTTTTAGCAAACACAAGGTACCATTACTGCTTGACAGTGATTCATAAACACAAGCTCATGTACGAATCTCACGATGAACTCTCTGAAATGTTTATGGAATTGGTATCTGGCAATGTATTATGTGTTTCCCTCGCTTGTCTGTAGATGAGCTCGTGACGGCGCCGCTGGATGCGATGGAGAGGCAGCTACCGTCTCCAGAACGCCTCAGGAGGAAGATAATAATCAAGGTGAGTGTCCTCATGGGGAAACCCGTTTAGGTCCGGGTTAGAATGGATCTTCAGTAACCCATGCTTGTCGTAAGAGGCGACTAACGGGATCGGGTGGTCAGGTTCGCTGACTTGGTTGACACATGTCATCGGTACCCAGTTGCGTAGATCGATGTTCATGCTGTTGATCACTGGATTGTCTGGTCCAGACTCGATTACTTACAGACCACATCCATATAGCTGGAATATTGCTGGGTGAGCTAAACTCTCTCACACCTTATGGGGATGCTTCGAGAAGGCTGAGGTTTGTTGTTGGCTTGGTGGTTCTTGTTTAACGGCGAACTCAGCAATATTCCAGCAACATCACGGCGGGGGACACCAGAAATGGGCTTCACACATTGTGCCCATGTGGGGATTCGAACCCGGGTCTTCGGCGTGACGAGCCAACGCTTTAACCACTAGGCTACCCCACTGTCCCTAGTCCAGGAGAGGCAGAGGCGACGGTCAGAAACAGAAGCAGTGATAATAGAGTTCAACATCGTTGGGTGGAACTTTGACATCCGTTTATTAGGCAATAATTGTTAGTTTTAATCAGACGCTCCAGTTCATATAGATAATACTGTTGTCCCCATAAATATTGGCTTTTTGTGTAATCCACTTATCTGGTCTAAGTGTTTATTTAATTGACAGAATTACTTTACGTGAATAAACGTATCCAGTACATCCCTGACGTTACTGGTAGTACAGCTACTGTATCAATAACATATATTTTATGTCGGTATCGGTAATAAACACAATAGTATACGTCATAAATAATAGTTTTTTGCAGTGATAGGTTAAATATAGTCATGTGAATATATGAGATGAAGACAGTTCTCTACATTCTTTTGAACACCATATGTTGTCAAAATTATTGATCATGAACCCAAAATTAAAAAATACATTACATTGTTACAATGGTATTACTGCATAGTGTTTTAAAATATGCTTTCAATGACTGGAAATTATCCTGTCAATTACAAGTGATACTTAAGACGAGTATTGTCTAGAGTTGGCTTTGCCTTTTGCCACAGAACAAATTTATTGATTTTGATTAGATACCTGCCAGCAGTTGTGTATCATGCTTTTTATTGCAGGTATTTTAACTCAAATTATATTTAAAAAATTTAAGCAATATAGACGTATTTCTGAGTACTTCCTTGGCGTCTGCAATATATCATCACTAAGTAGATATTTTCTATTGTATGATACTGTCAGTTAAGAGATGTAATTCTCATTGTGTAACTGTCAAAGATATCGTTTTATATGTTGTGAGGCACAGCAGGAGCTTATGTTCTCTTTAGTAGGGGTGGGTATTGCAGAGAATTTTCATATTGCGATATATTGCGATGCGAAAGCATGTATTGCGATATGTATTGCAATATATTGCTTGAAGTATTTTTAAACAAAAAACTACTTATAATCGAAGTAATGCTTGATTTATAGAGCAAATACAGAGCAAAATCACTATGTTTGATTAAGCATTAATGACAACTTGCATTCATGATTAAAAATAAAAATGTGAATAATATTTGGCACAAATGAAAGAAGGAAATATCCGAAGATTTCCGAGTGTTACGAAGTTTTCCGAATGCAAGTCAAAATACCGCTTTTCGATCAGCGTATCGCAATACGTATCGTTTCCATGTCTGAACCGGTAAATACCGGTAAACCGGTTATATTGCGCAGCCCTACTCTTTAGTGACCTTATCTGAAACATTAATTGATGATACTTCCGCATCCGATCCATAAAACATATCAGTTTGGGACACTTTCATATTTTCCTACAGGCTTAACATGTTGAAGAAAGCAAAACAAGATATTTAATTAAGCATGGAGAATCACCAACATAGAATCTGGATTAAAAGCGCATAAATAAAAAAAATGATGTGTGTTCTAACGATGAGTGGTGTTCAAAGATGTTAAACACAGCAAGATTTTGTTGCGCATGCTAAATGTGTGAACATGAATTTTCAGCTGACTTCCGCCGAGAATAGTTAAAATTATGATGTAGCTTGAAGCGATGTTCGCTCATTTCGCAGGTACGCTAATGGATCTATGAATGTAAAAATATGTAAAAGTACTCTTAAATCATATGTTTATATTTCAGGATCGTAAACTGAAGGTCGAAGGCGATGCTGATGAAAGTAAGTACAACATTGTACTCATTTTCATACAAGTGGAGAGCCCATGTACAAAATACAAATAATGTTACGTCACGGTGATGTAGAATGTTGTTTTATGGAGCAAATGAAAAGCGGCAGGCACGAGGATCCAATTTAACAGTTACCTAATGTTAAATATGCAGCCTCACATGTCAAACATGTCGCGATGGATGCTGACCCGTGAAGATCCGGGTTAGAATTGATCTTCAGCAACCAATGCTTGTCGTAAGAGGCGACTAACGAGATCGGGTGGTCAGGCTGGCTGACTTGGTTGACACATTGTAATCGTATCCCATTTGCGTAGATCAATGCACATGCTGTTGATCACTGGGTTGACTGGTCCAGAAATGATAATTTACACACCGCCGCCATATAACGGGAATATTGCTGAGGCGCCGTTAAATCGTCAATCGTGATGGATGCTAGTTTCAGAAACAGTCGTTAACTGTTTGGCTCTTTGAATTCAGTGGTTTGCAGAGTTGCTTCCCTTTGGTGCGTCACAAACCTGTGATCGCGGGTTCGAAAGACCTGAACTAGTTAAACCTAACTCACTAACTCACTCACTGACACCTATACAAGTTTGCAGACAGTGTTTTAATGATGCTGCGAAATCCTTAACTTGTACTTCACTGGGACCCGTTCCACAGACCGATCGTAGTATTACGACAGTCGTAACTCAGTGTTAAAGTATGTGAGTTACGATCACCTTAGCGCTACGAACGCTTTGTGGAACGGGCCACTGCTGACATATCTGGAAATAATGCGTAAGGAGAGAGTTTGAATATTTTCCACAATTATTCTGAGGACAATAAAAATGAGAACACCACATCATCGTCGTGTTCCTTTATATACTTTCAGATTTTCACCGACAACGCGATACAAGCGGAAAAGAATAAATGAACCCTTTATGTGTTCCCTTCTTTGGCTCCTTCAACATATCTATATATACTCATGGAAACAAATAAGGGAACACATGAAAGTAGAAGTGTTCCTATATTCTTTTCCAGGATATTCACTAGATATGAATTGTACTGTGGGTGAAATCCTGGAAATAAATAAAGGAACGATTTTACTTTCATGAGTTCCTTTATTCGTTTCCATGGGTATATATCTAATGTTCTTGTTTACGAAGTTGTTTGTTGAAATTGCGCAGAAAAAAAAGAAGTGATATGGGTAACGGCACTTGGTTAGCCGGAAGGTCTTGTCGATGGGTCGAAACTCCTGGGTGCCGTTGTACAAAACAACCTTAGCGCTAAGACTACCTTGAGTCTATTGTAAGGTATCGGAGTTACGGTCACCTTAGCGCTAAGCTCGCTTTGTACAACGATACCCTGGTCCATAGGCACTGACCATGGATTTTCCACGGATCATATAAAGAAATGAACCACCAATGCATCGTTGAACTAATTACCTCACTCACCTTTCAGAGAGGATGTCGCTGGATGTCCGTTTCTCAGGAATCTTGCACATACTGGACAAAGCTGAACGGGTAGGAACAGACAATAGTTTTTACCAATTCTTTGTGTGTCCCGTAGGTTTGCCAGAAACCTAACAGTGTGGGTTCAAATCCCATTTAGCCCCGATTACGTTTCTAGTTGGGTATGTCACTTGTTTTATGAAAGTGACGAACGTCTAATATTTGCAACAGTTCTTGTGATCGGGTGGTCAGGCTCAATGACTTGGTTGACCTAGGCATCGTACCCCAATTGCGTAAATCAATACTCATGATGTTGATCACTGGATTGTCTCGTCCAGGCTCGATCATTTACAGACCGTTACCATTGTAGCTGCAATATTGCTGATTGAGGCGGCGTTAAACAACAAACAAACAAACAAACAACAACAACAATCACTTCTAGCGTTTTCCTGATACAACGGAAATGCTGTTAGCAGTGGCTTTAAACAAAACTCACTCACAAACTTCTTATTTTGTAAAATGAAGGCTTGGGTCCCAGTAAAATGTGTCCTCACCGAGAAGGCGCTGATTTACAGCCCTAAGGATGACTACGAAGGCGAGGATTTCGAAGATGATGGCGATGCCGAAGAATATGAGGTATGTTTTGTATGGTTCATGATTTACTCAGGGTGTTTGGGGGCGGTGGGGTAGCCTAGTGGTTAAAGCGTTGGCTAGTCACGCCGAAGGCCCGGGTTCGATTCCCACATGGGTACAATGTGTGAATCCATTTCTGGTGTCCAACGCCGTGATATTGCTAAATATTGCTAAAAGCGGCGTAAAAGCATACTCACTCACTTAGGGTGTTTGGCCAGAAACCCTTGTCTTCCACTTTGTTTCAGATTCGAGCTGATTTTTGTAGTTACCCGCGGAAGGGTGGCTTGTTTTAGTGGGTCGCAACCACTTTTCTGAATTGCCTCCCTTAGTCTTACACATGTATATATCAGTGTATCGTTGATCCGATCTATATTCGTTGGTTTCACCGAACTTAGTGGCCTTGTTGCTGAAACCTGTGGTCTAAACCCAGGTCTCCTGGCAATGTTTCTAAGTCTGTCAGCACGATATCATTGCTCATGGAACCCGTGAAGATCCGGATTAATCATCAGCCATCCATGCTTGTCGTAAGAGGCGACTAACGGGATCGGGTGGTCAGGCTCGCTGACTTGGTTGACACATGTCATCGGTTCCCAGTTGCGTAGATCGATGTTCATGCTGTTGGTCACTGGATTGTCTGGTCTAGACTCGATTATGCGGAGACCGCCGCCATATAGCTGGGGTATTGCTGAGTGCGGCGTAAAACAACTAACAAACAAAACAAAACCATTGCTCATGGAATGGTAGACAGGCATGATACACCTCCGTCGTGACATAGTTGACTCACTCCCACCCACCAGATATTCACTCACTCACTCATCTTGTCAGGACTACGACAGCGACGAAGAGAATATTGAGATGGAACCATGGTACCATGGCAGGCTGTCGCGGGGACGGCGGGAAGCAGAGGAACTACTGAAGGAACAGAAATATCACGGTGATGGCACCTACCTAGTCAGAGACAGCGACAAGGAACCAGGATACTCCGTATCATTTTGGTAAATATGCATCGTATGTTTCACACAAAGCATGTCTTGTTTTATGATTTCATATTACACTATATAAGTGAATGTTATAGTTAAGTGCGGGGTGTTACACTCTAGATGGATGTTAAAGTTAATTATAAGTGCGGGATGTTACAGTATATAAATGGATGTTGAAGTTGAGTGTGGCATATTACAGTATATGAATTGATGTTAAAGTTAAGTGCGGCATGTTACACTCTAGGTGGATGTTAAAGTTAAGTGCGGGATGTTACAGTATATAGATGGATGTTAAATATGCATCGGATGTTTCACACAACCTTTGTCCAAGCATGTCTTGTTTTATGATTTCATATTACACTATATAAGTGAATGTTATAGTTAAGTGCGGCATGTTACAGTATATAAATGGATGTTGAAGTTGAGTGTGGCATATTACAGTATATGAACTAATGTTAAAGTTAAGTGCGGCATGTTAGATTATGTAAGTGAGTGTTATATTTAAGTGCGGCATGTTTCAGTTTATATGTGGATGCTAAAGTTAAGTCCGGCATGTTACATCATATACGTGAGTGTTAAAGTTAAGTGCGGCATGTTACAGAATATAAGTGGATGCTAAAGTTAAGTGCGGCATGTCATTGAATGTTACAGTTAGGTGCGCAAGTTACACTATGTAAGTGGATGTTAAAGTTAAGTGCGGTACATTACAGTATAGAAGTAGATGCTTAAGTTAAGTGCGGCATGTTGCAGTAGATAAATGGAGGCTAAAGTTGAGTGTGTCATATTACAGTATGTGAATTGATATTAAAGTTAAGTGCGGTATTTTACATTATATAAGTTAGTTTTAAAGTTAACTGCTGCATGTTACAGTATATAAGTGAATGCTAAAGTTAACTGCGGCATGTTACATTCTATAGATGGATGTTAAAGTTAAGTGCGTCATGTTACATTCTATAGATGAATGTTAAAGTTAAGTGCGTCATGTTACATTCTATAGATGGATGTTAAAGTTAAGTGCGGCATGTTACATTCTATAGATGGATGTTAAAGTTAAGTGCGTCATGTTACATTCTATAGATGGATTTTAAAGTTAAGTGCGGCATGTTACACTCTATAGATGGATGTTAAAGTTAAGTGCGTCATGTTACATTCTATAGATGGATGTTAAAGTTAACTGCGGCATGTTACACTCTATAGATGGATGTTAAAGTTAACTGCGGCATGTTACATTCTATAGATGGATGTTAAATATGCATCACATGTTTCACACAACCTTTGTCAAAGCATGTCTTGTTTTATGATTTCATATTATGAGAAAAGCTGAGAAGTTTCCGATATATACCATTATGGTTGATTAACTGTTAGACTGATGCATTGTTGAGTGTATGAATGTGTGTTTTAGTCTGTGGTGGCATGTTTGAGTGTATGACTGCGTAAGTCAGTATTTCTTTGCATGTTTGCGCGTATGACTGTGTTTCAGGCTGCACGGCAAACCGAACCACTGTCGGATTCAGTCACGCGTTGACGAAGACTGGACAAAGATGTACTACTTCAACGACAGTACGTGCAAATCGACCGTGAAGGAACTACTCGAGTACTACAAGGAAAATCCATTATATCTCGCCACCAACAAGTCAGTCCTACTAAAGGAGTCAGTCTACCACCCACCCGACTACATCAAGCAACCGTGAGTCGAGATTGTATAGGTATACTGAGGGGCAAAAGAATATATACATTTGAAATTTGATTTTACCACAATTAGACAAACCTTATCGACATGTACAATGTTGAAAGCCGTACAGACAGTTTATGTACAATATAATTAACTCGGAGAGCTTATATTTGGTCTATTAAATGCAAAGTACATTCCTACCTCCAACCGATCAGTCCCGGGATCTGCCGGTTTAAAATGTTTTTGTTTGTTTTGTTTGTTTGTTGTTTAACTCCGCAGTCAGCAATATTCCAATTATATAGCGGCGGTTTGTAAACAATAATAGAGTCTGGTACAGACAATGTTGTAAACTGTAATACTGCGGTAAATTGTAATAAGAATTGCGCTTTTCTATTACAATTTACCACAGTCTTATTACAACTTACAGCGGTTTATTACCGTGTTATCAACAAGGTGCCTGGTAATGGGTTATTTTACGAAAGTCAGACCTTAAAACTCCAGGGCCTAGATTTTCGAAGCTCTCTTAGCGCTAAGATAGTCGTAAGTTAATGTTAATGTATGTCACTTACGACTGTCTTAGCGCTAAGACAGCTTCGAAAATCTAGGCCCATGATTACATCAATAGTGACATAAGTACCTGTAGTAGTTTGAGATCGTTAGCAATTGCAAGGCAGCTCATTACATCAACTCAGAAATGCAATTGATGCACTTTAGGTTAATGATGGCTACATGTCGCGTTAAGGATGACCACTGCACTTGCTCGAAGTGGAAGATGGTTACTATGAAATGCTCATTCAAACCGGGACAATTCCTGACCACTGTTGCCCTAAATATAGCAGGCATTGGTCATTGTAAATCCTCGTCAAGCGTTGTCAATCCTGGTCAGTCATTGCCAATCATGGTCAATCATGGTCAATCATGTCATTCCTGGTCAATCATTGTCAATCCTGGTCAGTCATTGTCAATCCTAGTCAGTCATTGTCAGTCCTGGTCAAACATTGTCAATCCTGGTCAGTCATTGTCAATCCTGGTCAATCATAGTCAATCCTGGTCAATCATGTCATTCCTGGCCAATCATTGTCAATCCTGGTCTGTCATTGTCAATCATTGTCAATCCTAGTCAATCATTGTCATTCCTGGTCATTCCTTGTCAATCCTAGTCAATCATTGTCATTCCTGGTCAATCAATGTCAATCCTTGTTCTACAGATGGTACTTCAGCAGTGTTAACAGACGGGCTGCTGAGGAAATGCTCAGAAGAAATCCGGAGGATGGCCGCTTTCTTGTGCGACCAGGATCGGCAAGGGATACTTTCGCTCTTTCCTTCAGGTACAGTTTCGTTACTGTCTTATTGTGATGAAGATAAGACGAAACTGTGGTCGTAGGAATATATTTGCATGTTTTCCGTGAATACTTTCTTTTATTATATATTTAAGTGCGAAAGACTTTCTGGGATTGCCGAGTTTAAGAAAGTGACAGAAATTTGATATGTTTACTGCGGTGAAACTATCGCTTTGCCGGAGCTACTTCATGCCTCACCACAGTTTTCTGTCCTCAAAGCCAATGTACAATGGCTGATGTCCAACCCTCAGCGACGTAAACTCGCCCTGATCTGCTGAGCGCCGAGTCAGTGCACCCGAATACCGAATCATGTCTTATCAAAGTCATGAACAGTCTTCAATTTACAGTTAGAATTCGATAATTGAATTTCCTCGGATTAAAATGTTTAGATTATATTAAACAAAATTGGAAGCAAATAATAAATAGAATGTTTCATGTGTCCTGTGAAATATAATATTTCTGCCATCTGGTGACGTGAGTGAGTTTAGGTTTACGACGCTTTAGCAATATTCCAGCTGAGTCACCAGTTACCAGGGGACACCAGAAATGGGCTTCACACATTGTACCCATGTGGGGAATCGAACCCGGGTCTTCAGCGTGATGAGTGAACGCTTTAACCTCTAGGCTACCCCACCGCCCCTCTGTACACAACTATTGAAAGTATCGCGTCATCGTGTCTAATCTGTTTTTCAGATATCACGGCAAAATTCGACATTTCCGTATCAGTAGGCAGGGAGGACCGTTTGTGCTTGGGCTGTACAGGTTCTGCAGCCTGGTGAAGCTAGTGGACTTCTTCAAGAAGACCCCATTGTACAGAAAGATGAAACTAGGGAGGCCGGCAGTAGGGGCGACTACCGATGAACAGGTAAATGTTGTTATATTCGCTAGATTCACTCTTAAATATAGTTGTGCAGACTACATTGTCAACAGGTAAACATAGAAATACATAGACTACATTGTCAACAGGTAAATATAGTTCTGAGGACCATATTGTCGGCAGGTAAACTGAGTTACATAGACTAAATTGTCAACAGGTAATCGTAGTTCAGCAAACCATATTGTCGGCAGGTAAACTGAGGTACATAGACTACATTGTCAACGGGTAAATTATAGATCTGCAAACCATATTGTCGGCAGGTAAACTGAGTAACATAAACTATATTGTCAACCGGTAAATATACTTAGGGCCATATTGTCGGCAGGTAAACTGAGTTACATAAACTATATTGTCAACCGGTAAATATACTTAGGGCCATATTGTCGGCAGGTAAACTGAGTTACATAAACTATATTGTCAACCGGTAAATATACTTAGGGCCATATTGTCGGCAGGTAAACTGAGTTACATAAACTATATTGTCAACCGGTAAATATACTCAGGGCCATATTGTCGGCAGGTAAACTGAGTTACATAAACTATATTGTCAACCGGTAAATATACTTAGGGCCATATTGTCGGCAGGTGAATACAGTCGCCTCTTACAACCTTTACAAGTTGCTGTGCTCCTGTTTATTACCCAGAATCTCCACAGGCTATGCATGCTCAGAATATCAACCACCTTTACATAAACACCAGATTATTTACAGGTCGCCGTAATACTGTTGGACAAACACTGACTGTATGTTTTTCAGGCTGACGACTGTGACATCTACGGCTGCAGCATATACAGCGACCCCAACAGTCCCGAGGGTCTCAGCATGGTAAATTATTGTAGACTGAGGGAAACAAATAGGGAGCACCACTTCATGGCAGTGCTCCTTTATATATTCTCAGATTTCCTCCCACAGCGCTATTCAAAGATGATGATGAAAACTGGAAAATATTATCATGAAATAGAATAAGGGAACACAAGAAAGTACAAGTGTTCCTTTATTCTTTTCCAGGTTTCTTAACAAGGTATGTACTGCACTGTGGTTGAAATTATAGGAATGAATAAAGGACTTGTACTTTCATGTGTTCCTTTATTTGTTTCTCTCAGTATATTATCGTTGTCAACACCTCATGTGGTTTCCCTATCATGTTTCTCTTAATGTTGTGACATGTTGTTGTCGAATATGTAAACTCAGTAGACTTAAATGAGTACATATTTAACAAACTTCACAAGCTCAAGGTTATTGTATTATAAGTTCAATATAAACAGCATCAATGCAACGACAACCTTTAGGCTTGAGGATTGGTTAACGTGGCCCATTTTTCTACCGAGAATCCTTACACTACTCAAGGATTCTCAAGTTGCAGAATAAGGCAATTGGACAAAAGTAATCTACGTATGTGGTTACCAGGTGAATGTGAGGGCCTTGTACGACTTCCGGGGTGACCAGCCGGACCAGATGACCTTTCGCAGGGGGCAATCATTAGGAATGTAAAGGAAGAGGACTGTCCATGGTGAGTCTATGTAAACTGATTCTTCTCCTCTCTCTTGACTGTTTGTGAGTGCATGTGTGTGTGTGTGTGTGAGTACATGTGTGAGTGAGTGAGTGAGTGCATGTGTGAGTGTGTGAGTGTGTGTGAGAGAGAGAGAGAGAGAGAGAGAGAGAGAGAGAGAGAGAGAGAGAGAGAGAGAGAGAGAGAGAGTGTGTGTGTGTGTGTGTGTGTGTGTGTGTGTGTGGCTCCTTGTACAAATCCGGACATGAATTTATAAAGTGTGAGCTCATTCAGTTACTATGCTGCAGATTATCATGGTTAAATAACTAAGACATATAATACTGACGCCAAGCCAAGCCGGGCCTTGTTTTTGCTCTGTACGCCGGTTTAATGTTGAATGAGTGAGTGAGTGTGTGAGTATTAGTTGCATTTAGCTACATTCCAGCAATATTCCGGGGGCGCCAGAAATGGGCTTTGTACCCACGTGGGAATCGAACCTGGGTCTTCGGCATGACGAGCGAACGGTTCAACCATTAGGCTACCCCATCGTCCGCTTAATGTTTCAAGAGCTGGATATATATCTTACAATAGTGTCAAAATCAACCAATGTAGGGTCGTATTTTGTGAGGACGTGATTATTCCAATCAGGTGGAAAGGGGATCTCGGCGACATGCGACAGCTTTTGTTCCCTGCTAACTACGTTGAGGTCATGCCAGAGAAGGAGAACGAGAAAACAGATCTGGAGAAGGAGAGCGGCATCATTGAACTCGCAGGCGGCATCGTTGGTAGGTACAACCACTGCAGGAAACATGAGTACAGTTTTATGCCGTTTGTCGATTGATTGTCGGTCACTTTCACAGATTCGCGCGTTATACACATGTTGAGACTCGAACTCGGCTTAGTAAGCGAACACCTTACCACCTGGAGTAATCATATATATTCGATAAGACTGAAACATTTGACATATATACAGTATGCATCTACATGCTTTTTACTGTGATCATACAACCCGTTGCATATGCCAAAGTCTCCGTTAAACCCTTCGGACTATTAACTGAATTCGACTTCCAGTTCCACATATCTGAGGTAAATGAATCGGACACTGAGTTTGACACAACCAAACATTCAACCTATCCAATATTTGCTGGAGTTTGAGTATGTGCTGTATTTAGTGGATAACGAGATACTCATCTAATCAAACATTATGTTGTTCTGACCCGTGAAGATCCGTGTAAGAATTGATCTTCAGTAACCCATGCTTGTCGTAAGAGGCGACTAACGGGATGGAGTTAGGCTCGCTGACTTGGTTGACACATGTCATCGTATCCCAATTGCGTAGATCAATGTTCATGCTTTTGATCACTGGAATATTTTGGTCCAGACTCGATTATGTACAGACTGACGCCATATAGCTGGAATATTGCCGAGTGCGGCGTAAAACAACAACCAATCAATCAATATGGTGTTCTGTCTGTCCTCATCAACGATCACACACCGAGAGCAGGAAAATGTCTGCTCCTCGCACTGAAGCAGAACATGGAAAGTAGCTGTAGTTGAAATTCTTCTTCCTATTGTATAAAATGTAGTTGATATTGAACTCGTGGTGTTGTCAAAGGGGTTTTCCATCCAGTTATTTGATGTCCACAGTCTGTGTTGTGTCTTCTCGAAACAATTGATTCACAATCATCGAGAATTTGGGGATGTGGATGCAAAAAGTATTTTTCTTCCTGTTAAAATATGTGCTTCTATTTCAGAAATCTCTCCGGAGGTTGAAGGCAAAAAGAATGTTCTCAACGTATTCAGCAACAACACAGCCAAGCCTTTTGTCATCGGTTTCGACCACCATCGAGAAATGGCGGACTGGGGTGACGCCATCACAAGCATTGTTGCTGCACTAGAAAACAGAGTACGTACATCATCGTCATCATCATCATCATCATCATCATCTTCGTCGTTATTTGATTGATGTCTGGGTGTTGGTATCAGGGTTTACAGCAAATGTTAAACACACAAAAAAATATCATGCTTCTTTAGGTATTTGGTACATATTACAATAGTGTATTTTGCCAGATAATTCGAGCTGATTTGAGGTGATTGTCGCGCCTCCAAATCGGGTAGTCGTGATTTAATGATGAATTTGAATACACGTGTGTGTTGCGTTGAAGTCGAAACGTACTATATATTTTCGTTGTTTTTATCCATCCATCTCTGTGAGTGTATCCATATATTACTTTCAAAGGTGTGGGTACATCCCAGAATTCCATGCAGCAGGTACAGTACCTCTGCCACAGGGCAGAGAGATCGTCACATCTTGCACAGTCCATTCGATACATTGCATACAACTCTTAAATTATTGACGAGACTACACATGTCATTAAATATCTTTAATAGAATGAAAGGGCGCTGGGGTAGCCTAGTGGTTAAGCGTTCACTCGTCATGCCGAGAACCCGGCGCTAAACATCCCCCAGGTGTACATTACTACATTATAACTATCTGCTGATGACGTTCTTGGGAAAATGTGAAGGGAACGTCCGAAGCCCCCCCCTAGTTTCTTTTCGGTTGGGGCTGTGGGGTAGCCTAGTGGTTAAAGCGTTCGATCGTCATGCCGAAAGCCCGGGTTCGGTTCTCCACGTGGATACAATGTTTGTTACCAATTTATGGTGTCCCTTGCCATGATATTGCTGGAATATTGCTAAAAGCGGCGTAAATATAAACCAACTCACTCACTCTTCAATAGAAAGTACGTTAAGGGAGAAAATATCCTAAAACGAGTAACACTATTTCGACTTGCGTAGCGGTCCGTTGTTTACGGCTCCACGTGCTTTCATCGAAGCATCATGGAGAGCAAGCGCTGCAGTAACTGTGATGTACAGTACAACATGAAATTATTGAGATTTAAGATTGTAATTTAAAAAAAAAAATTCACTCATTACTCACGTATTAAATGTGAATATAAGCAGAACATAACTCCAGATTCAAAGACAGGTGAACAGTTAGTCTTTTGTCACGTCATCATGGGCAGCAATGCAGGCTTCAATGCGGCGGGGCATACTACTGAAGTTAGAAAGTCGTGGTCCATGCTGTCCCAATATCGGACCACCTCTTCTTTCAGCAATATTTGTCAGATTTTTCTTATTGACACTTTCCTTCATAAGTCCCCAAACATTTTCTATTGGATTTAGGTCAGGGCTATAGCTTGGCCAATCTAATAATGTCATATTTTGGGTCCGAAACCGGGCCTGTGAATGCTTTGAACGATGTTTTGGGTCGTTGTCCTGCTGGAAAATCCAAACATTTCCATAGAACACGTGAGCAGATGGAAGTAAATGTCCCTCGAGAATATCTGTGTACCGCTCACTGTTCATATTCCCTTCAAATACACAGAGGGGCGTTGCCCCTAACACAGATATGCCACCCCACACGTTAAATTTTGGACTGTACTTTGGGCGCTGATACAAAGGTTTTTCAGTTTGTTTGGTCCAGAATTTCAGTGTATTAGGAAATAGCCACACAGAACTTACATCTGAGAAAATCACATTGTCCCTGTTAAAATTTCTATGCTGTACGCACCAGTTGAACCTTCACTCCTTTTGTTCAGGTTTCATGATCGATGATGGAATTCCTCGACTTTTCATGCATGCAGCTCAGTTCTAATTGTCTCCTTACAGACAGCCACACTTCCTCTATCAATTATATCCAGCCTTAAGTTTTCTAAACTCCTGTTTTTAGAAACAAGAATACCAAGCCGCCTCCTGTCACCGACAGTCAATTTTTTGGGCCTACCTGCGCCTCCCTGGTGCTCAATGCCATATCCATTTGCAATATTTTTCAAAACACGATAAACAGTGGACAAAAAAGATGCCTGTTCTACTTGAAATCACTTTAGCTGATCTGATGTCCTTGTTGTAATACTCTAAAATCAACTTCCGCTTCTCTAAATCATCCATACTGAGAATCACTGAAAATGTCGTCTGCTAGCAAGTAAACAAAGGGGGATAACTCTTCACAAACTAATGAAAAAGGATTAACGGAGTTGTGTCTTTTGAATGAAACCAAGCACTTGATAGCTGGTCAAGGTTGTTTATACTAGAAATCCAATTAAACATATTCCTCAAATTCTCAATAATTTCTGGTCATACTATATAATATGTATTTTGAATCTCGCAGTTGTAGAAGAATATTGATATAACAATGTAAAACAATATGAAGAGCGCACAAAAAGCTTGCATAAGACAGGCGTCTTCTTTGTCCGGTCACGTGATATGCAAATTAGCCTGCAGCAGTGATTTTATACAAAGTCATTACTGCGCCGGCGTGTGCGGTCATCACATACACCTCATTTCCGGTTCCGTCGCTATGGTTAACGCAGGACGAACATAGGATCGGATGGTATGAAATCATTGCTACTGCTTTCAACCACTGTTTTGTCTGGGGCGGTGGGGTAGCCTAATGGTTAAAACGTCGCTCGTCACGCTGAAGACCCAGGTTCGATGCCCCACATGGGTACAAGGTCTGAAGCTGGTATATTGCTAAAAACGCGTAAAACCTACTCAATCACTCACTCACTGTTTTGTCTGGTCCGGTTACGTTAAGGCCACCATTTCAATGCTGGAACATTGAAATAGTGGCGTAAAGTATAATTCACTCACTCTGTTACCATGCATCATTTTTCGTCAGGATCGGAAGATATCTGCACAGGAAGGTAGAGACAATAGAGCTGCAGAGTTGTCGGACCTTGTCGTCTACTGTCAAGCCGTACCTTTCGACACAAAGAGTAGGTTTTCTGTTATTATATTTATTTCATTTATCATTATTATGCAGTCTTATGCTACTTCACGGTGGAATACAGTGAAAATGTCGATTTAAAGAAACATTATTCATAACTATTTGGGTTTTCTTAATATGCTTTAAAATTACTTTGTTTTAGCCTTTGTACGTACCGTTTGGAATACTTTATGATTGCTTTCCAACAACTTATGATGATTCACTTGTAAAAAGCAAGAATGTATTTAAGAACGGGAATTACTCATGGAATATTCCCTTAATCAGGCTTTCCTTAGACCCGACTTCATTTCCGGTACGCGGGGATTCTGGGTACGTCTGTATGTCCGGCAGCCTGTGTTTGGTCGGCTGGTCAGGCTCGCTGACTGAGCGCAACCCCTTTCGATGCTCATAATGTCAACCTCTAGATTATCCGTCCCAGACTCAAATTTAACGGTACCGCCGTTATTAGCTGGACGACGTTGAACGTTGACGCTGGAGTGTGACGTTGAAAAGTATATTCCGATTGTTAAACACAATATAGATTTAGATTAAAAAGTTCATTGTGTTTTTGTAGATATTCCTGGCAGACATTCGGAAATGTCGTCTCTGTCCGAAGTGAAGGTTGCAGCTTTTCTCGCCGCTGAAAGAATAACAACGATTACAAAGTATCCTTTTGCGAAGCCCCTTAGAGACAATACGGACTCGCTACGGGAATTATGGGTTTCTGTCCTCCGCAAATAAACTTGTGTTAATTCACGGGGAACAGATGATACGGATAGGGTATTTTATATATACTATTCACACTTTGCTAAGGATCAAATCATGGATTCAACAGAAAACTATGATGTGGGGTCAAATTGGATTTAAATATCTAAGCTTATTGTAAGCATGGATCTTAGGTTTCAGTGTGTCATTTCATCTTGTGGATCCCATACCTTCGATTGACAGGTGTTGTGTATTTGTCAGTGACTCGTTCCATGATTTGCCAAATGGTGGATTGGTGCCATGAAAACAATTTATATGGTTACTCATGAATCACGTGGACAAGGTTAGATTAAAGTGACTGTTTGCCTAAAGAGGGCTTACCATTTTATTATTTATCCAGTTTTAAATGGATACAATTTCAAATTATGAATCTACGTTTAAGTAAAGATGTGAATTTTTGTTATCCTTAGCAAAGTGTGAGTAGAATATTAATCATTGATACTTCGAGAGAGTAAATGAGGAAACACCCTGGGGGGTAACTGACGGCAACATATTGCTTAGACAGAACAGGGCCCCGTTCCTCAAAGCGATCGTAGCGCTACGACAGTCGTAAGTCTATGTTAAAGTAAGTGTACACAGGATGGCGGGATGGTTTACGTGGAAGATTGTACAGTTTTCATGATGGAATTACAAAATATACATGTTCTTGTTCGTTTACAGTTAAAGGTCACATGCAACCAAAAAATCAAACATAATTAAAACACAATTATCACTTCTTCATGACATATAATATACATTGCTGATTATGAAAAAACAAATAAACAAAATTATAAGCGTATAATCGCAAATCAAAAGTGCAATATTTTGTACTTGGGTTTACCTCCCTCGAAACGAAGCAGCCGGGATACCGAACCCAGTCAGAGCGGGTGGGTGTGCACTCAAGTGTAACGTCTGGTTCATTAGCAGATGCCGCCTTCACGGGTCATTGTGTGTGTATATATAGAAAGTTGGGTTTTGTAAATACATGCTCATTTTTTGTGTATAACATTTTGAAATCAACAGACATCATAACATGTCATGTGTTCAAGTATCACACCTGCCTGTCTGTGTAATTACATAATGTGACAGAGACCGAACTCGGGCCATAAATCAATGCGTTTTGTTTATGGTGTATAGCCTGATTGGTGTTAAGTTCAAATTGCATGTGGTCAGTGATCGCAGTTGTGTATTGAATATTGTCATTAGCAGACAGGCAGGCAGACACACTGGTGTCAATAAAACAAGACTTTGAGTTTTGTCTGTGACTGCGACATATCTATATCACAGTTAGAAATCGTGTCAACTCTAAATAATGACATTGCTTTTAAGTATCGAACTGAGAAAGTGTCTCGGTAAGAAGAACGTGTGGTGAAATAGACAAATGAAACTATATAAAAAGTTTATTTACTGTCATAACATACAAAAAACTCGCGCCTGTGAGATATCAACAAAACATTATGAAACTAGCTCACACCAAAGCCTTCACCGAGTATTCACCAGACAGCCCACTTCCAAGTTGCGCGAACCTATTTCACTGCGCACGTGCTATGAGCGCAGCCAGCTGTTGAAACCCGTATTCCCCAGAAAAGTCTGGGGAAAATTAGTGAAACGTTTGAACTCCGATTTCGCGCGTTGTTTTTCATCGCGTTATTTTTCAACTTTATAAGTTGAATTTGCATTTTTGACGATTTGTTTCGGTAAGTCCATACCGAAAGGTATCAGAATCTGCAAAGTTGTGTTTTACGTTGCATGTGACCTTTAAATAACGACTCGGTGCGTCACGTAATGCCGAAGCATGATAATAAAGCTGATGTTTATGATGCGGAACAGTGACTATCACTACACAAATTAAGAAACTTGAAGGTGCTCTCACTCTTTGAATGAAACAGCTGTCTTCAGAATAAATGAAATGAGTTTTCGAAAAAGTTCTTTGAACTTACAATTTTGACTCTTACAAAATCAGGAAAAATATGATTTAAAGGTATCAAATAACACAACTTGATATTAATTAAATCTTTTTAATAATGTTTGCACCATTTTATCTCTATTTCTTTAATTTCCAACCTATTTGCTAAACTTAACTCATGAATAAAGCTTGGAATTAACATTTTTTTTTTTTTAAATTGTGTTTGGGGCGGCCATCTTGGATTTAGCCTCGTTCTGAGTCTGAGCTACCAAACTGAGATGTCCATCATACATTTTTGATATATGGAGACATAAAGGAATGTCAAAAAAACCCACTAAGACGTTTGGTACCTCTGAGTGGTACCAATATGTCAATTTCAGCTCCTGGCTCCTGTCCTTAGAGTCCTTACGTTATTTTACAGTTGTGGGTGTTAGCAAAGTCTGTTTCCTAAATATTCCCTTAACAGTACAAGCTACAACTGCTACCAGGTCAGCAGGATATTCCCGAAGTTCACACGCATTGGATCTGATAATTATGACCCTGTCCCGATGTGGATTGGTAGTTGCCAGATGGTTGCTCTGAACTACCAGACGCCCGACAAGCCCATGCAGCTCAACCAGGGCTGGTTCCGACAAAACGGAAAGTAAGACCATCGTAGTTTCAGTTACGAAACTGAAGAAATTATGCTTGACGACACGTTGTGAATTCACAACCATCAAGCAGTTTCTCAGACACTTCCTTAATTTCTATTGAAAACAATGATTTGTTTTCGAGAAAATACTAGGAAGATAGTAAACCTTTTATTACAGGATTTTTAAATGAACTCATCTACCAATATAATTAAACCTTGAGACTAAATGAATGATTGTTACTCAGCCTGACCATCACAGTAAGTAGGATCTACCAATATAATTAAACCTTGAGACTAAATGAATGATTGTTACTCAGCCTGACCATTGCAGTAGGTAGGATCTACCAATATAATTAAACCTTGAGACTAAATGAATGATTGTTACTGAATGATTGTTACAGCCTGACCATTGCAGTAGGTAGGATCTACCAATATAATTAAACCTTGAGACTAAATGAATGATTGTTACTCAGCCTGACCATTGCAGTAGGTAGGATCTACCAATATAATTAAACCTTGAGACTAAATGAATGATTGTTACTCAGCCTGACCATTGCAGTAGGTAGGATCTACCAATATAATTAAACCTTGAGACTAAATGAATGATTGTTACTCAGCCTGACCATTGCAGTAGGTAGGATCTACCAATATAATTAAACCTTGAGACACAATGAATGATTGTTACTCAGCCTGACCATTGCAGTAGGTAGGATCTACCAATATAATTAAACCTTGAGACTAAATGAATGATTGTTACTCAGCCTGACCATTGCAGTAGGTAGGATCTACCAATATAATTAAACCTTGAGACTAAATGAATGATTGTTACTCAGCCTGACCATTGCAGTAGGTAGGGATCTACCAATATAATTAAACCTTGAGACTAAAATGAATGATTGTTACTCAGCCTGACCATTGCAGTAGGTAGGATCTACCAATATAATTAAACCTTGAGACTAAATGAATGATTGTTACTCAGCCTGACCATTGCAGTAGGTAGGATCTACCAATATAATTAAACCTTGAGACACAATGAATGATTGTTACTCAGCCTGACCATTGCAGTAGGTAGGATCTACCAATATAATTAAACCTTGAGACTAAATGAATGATTGTTACTCAGCCTGACCATTGCAGTAGGTAGGATCTACCAATATAATTAAACCTTGAGACACAATGAATGATTGTTACTCAGCCTGACCATCACAGTAGGTAGCAGTAGGTAGGATCTACCAATATAATTAAACCTTGAGACTAAATGAATGATTGTTACTCAGCCTGACCATTGCAGTAGGTAGGATCTACCAATATAATTAAACCTTGAGACTAAATGAATGATTGTTACTCAGCCTGACCATTGCAGTAGGTAGGATCTACCAATATAATTAAACCTTGAGACTAAATGAATGATTGTTACTCAGCCTGACCATTGCAGTAGGTAGGATCTACCAATATAATTAAACCTTGAGACTAAATGAATGATTGTTACTCAGCCTGACCATTGCAGTAGGTAGGATCTACCAATATAATTAAACCTTGAGACTAAATGAATGATTGTTACTCAGCCTGACCATTGCAGTAGGTAGGATCTACCAATATAATTAAACCTTGAGACACAATGAATGATTGTTACTCAGCCTGACCATTGCAGTAGGTAGGATCTACCAATATAATTAAACCTTGAGACTAAATGAATGATTGTTACTCAGCCTGACCATTGCAGTAGGTAGGATCTACCAATATAATTAAACCTTGAGACTAAATGAATGATTGTTACTCAGCCTGACCATTGCAGTAGGTAGGATCTACCAATATAATTAAACCTTGAGACTAAAATGAATGATTGTTACTCAGCCTGACCATTGCAGTAGGTAGGATCTACCAATATAATTAAACCTTGAGACTAAATGAATGATGATTGTTACTCAGCCTGACCATTGCAGTAGTAGGATCTACCAATATAATTAAACCTTGAGACTAAATGAATGATTGTTACTCAGCCTGACCATTGCAGTAGGTAGGATCTACCAATATAATTAAACCTTGAGACTAAATGAATGATTGTTACTCAGCCTGACCATTGCAGTAGGTAGGATCTACCAATATAATTAAACCTTGAGACTAAAATGAATGATTGTTACTCAGCCTGACCATTGCAGTAGGTAGGATCTACCAATATAATTAAACCTTGAGACTAAAATGAATGATTGTTACTCAGCCTGACCATTGCAGTAGGTAGGATCTACCAATATAATTAAACCTTGAGACTAAATGAATGATTGTTACTCAGCCTGACCATTGCAGTAGGTAGGATCTACCAATATAATTAAACCTTGAGACTAAATGAATGATTGTTACTCAGCCTGACCATTGCAGTAGGTAGGATCTACCAATATAATTAAACCTTGAGACTAAATGAATGATTGTTACTCAGCCTGACCATTGCAGTAGGTAGGATCTACCAATATAATTAAACCTTGAGACTAAATGAATGATTGTTACTCAGCCTGACCATTGCAGTAGGTAGGATCTACCAATATAATTAAACCTTGAGACAAATGAATGATTGTTACTCAGCCTGACCATTGCAGTAGGTAGGATCTACCAATATAATTAAACCTTGAGACTAAATGAATGATTGTTACTCAGCCTGACCATTGCAGTAGGTAGGATCTACCAATATAATTAAACCTTGAGACTAAATGAATGATTGTTACTCAGCCTGACCATTGCAGTAGGTAGGATCTACCAATATAATTAAACCTTGAGACTAAATGAATGATTGTTACTCAGCCTGACCACCTGCAGCAGTAGGTAGGATCTACCAATATAATTAAACCTTGAGACTAAATGAATGATTGTTACTCAGCCTGACCATTGCAGTAGGTAGGATCTACCAATATAATTAAACCTTGAGACTAAATGAATGATTGTTACTCAGCCTGACCATTGCAGTAGGTAGGATCTACCAATATAATTAAACCTTGAGACTACAATGAATGATTGTTACTCAGCCTGACCATTGCAGTAGGTAGGATCTACCAATATAATTAAACCTTGAGACTAAATGAATGATTGTTACTCAGCCTGACCATTGCAGTAGGTAGGATCTACCAATATAATTAAACCTTGAGACTAAAATGAATGATTGTTACTCAGCCTGACCATTGCAGTGAGGTAGGATCTACCAATATAATTAAACCTTGAGACACAATGAATGATTGTTACTCAGCCTGACCATTGCAGTAGGTAGGATCTACCAATATAATTAAACCTTGAGACTAAATGAATGATTGTTACTCAGCCTGACCATTGCAGTAGGTAGGATCTACCAATATAATTAAACCTTGAGACTAAATGAATGATTGTTACTCAGCCTGACCATTGCAGTAGGTAGGATCTACCAATATAATTAAACCTTGAGACTAAATGAATGATTGTTACTCAGCCTGACCATCACAGTAGGTAGGATCTACCAATATGATTATACTTTGAGAACTTTTAATTAAACTTTTAACTTTTAACTCATACAGTTCATGGTCGTCAATAAAGCAGGACCCGAGGCGTAAAACAACAACGTTTAATTTCTAACTTAGTAGTTTTACTGTTCATCGTCAATAGGTTTTTAATTTCTAATTGTATTGGTCTTTAATGTGATAATTAATTGTTCTCGTCACGATATGGCTGGAATATTGCCGATGTGACTCACTCACTCACTTACTTAATGTATTCCAGATACTCTGCGGTAGACTGTTAACCGTCGGAGCTTGCCTAAAACCGTTCATTGTGATGGAGGTGCTCGGAATTCCTATAGACAACAAGAGAATCCGAACCAGCTTACGGGAAGGTAGGCACTCGAGTGATAGGGTTTCATAGTCAGAATGCATATGAGGGAAATCCACGATAATGAATGTTTTGTCGATGAACTATGAATATAATCAGGGCACGCCTAGGATTCTAGTTCGTTGTATGTGGAGTATATAACGAGTAAGAGACACACGTTTTCGTTTATCAAAGGGGCACAATTATCAGTTAAGATCCATTGACCAAAGGATACATTGGAACAGTGGAATTATACCATCTTTGCCCATTTTGAAACTTCAAATCAGATATATAAACAAGTTAATTAGTCTGTTTATCATACTTGTGCACTTGGCATATTGTTCGTTGGTGACGCTTTAAAAATTACGATTCCTCGCATGACAAAGGGACATAACTCCGCTAAGTTATGACGCGTGACAAATAAGTATTTTACATCGATGGATACGACGCCACCTGTTCGAACATTATTCTTTCATCATTATTTATTTATTACAGATATATCATACAAATTTTGTTGGTTATTTTTATCAGTTTTGTTTTTTTTAATAATTTCTGGTTATTTATTTCATCTAAGAAAACAACGGTCTCATGCCGGTATGGGAGGATGAAAAACATGACCTCGACATCGTATGTCCGCCATTGGCGTTGCTGAGGTTCGAACTGTGTTCCGACAATGAGCTGATTGACCAGAAGGTTCTTGCACAAGCTACGATTCCAGTGCTAGCTCTCAGGGAAGGTAAGAAACAGTTCCAGAAAAGATCCGGATTCGATTTGGTCTTCAACAACCATGCTGGTCCTTAAACGCGACAAACAAGGGTGGTCAGGCCAGCTCACTTGCAACGTATCCCAACTGGATCGACGACCCGTGAAGATCCGGGTTGGAATTGGTCTTCAGTAACTCATGCTTGGTTAAGAGACGACTAACGGGATCGGATGGCCAGGCTCGCTGTTTCTGATCACTAGATTGTTTGGTCCAGACATGATTATTTACAGACCGTCGCAATATAGCTGGAATATTGCTCAGTGCGGCGTAAAACTAAACTCACTCACACACGCTTAGATAGACGCTCCTGATAATAATTAGATTCTGCAGGTTGGATAGTTACAGATAGCCGTCAGCTTTTCCAAAATTAGTTTCAAGGATACAAAAACTACAAATAGTAGACGCAGTTATCGCCCTTGCATTGCAATTCGCTATGTTGTGTCATTCGAGTATATTTATGCACCATAAAGTGGATAACGTGGTTGACTGAGTGTCACACTGCGCCGTTTACCAGAAAATCAAACATTGGTTTGTATGGCGAATAATTAGGAGATAATCCTATTATGTTTATATTTTGGAAGTGATTATAGTTGGTTGAACGCTGCTAAATGAAACTTCCACAATGCAAACACAATAGGATTATCTCCATTCTACCATGACGTATGCACCATGAATAAAACGCGTTTTAAATATGCACTCATTACCCTTGCGTAGTGGTGTGACACTACGCGCAGTGAACCGGCTCTCAGAAGTGGTTATTGAAAATTACAGCGTTGAACAAGTGAAACAGACAAATACATAGAAACGAAAGCAAACTAACACTCACTGATTATCTTCAGGTTTCCGCTGTGTGCCTTTACAGAACGTCTACAGTGAGAATCTACCGTTATCTGCACTGCTCATACAACTCGCCATCAACGATAAGGAGGTAAGGCTAAGTGTCACTATTAATTGGTGTTACAAATGTGTGTGCCTGTCGTTCCCCTTATGTATTTACACTCAAACACACACAGAGAGAGAGAGAGACAGAGAGAGAGAGAGAGAGAGAGAGAGAGAGAGAGAGAGAGAGAGAGAGAGAGAGAGAGAGAGAGAGAGAGAGAGAGAGAGAGAGAGAGAGAGAGAGAGAGAGAGAGAGAGAGAGAGAGAGAGAATACACACGCACACATGCATATATACTCACATACATTATATATTTATTTTTATACATGAATGTATACATGTATAAATATACGTGTATATGTGTAAGCTTATGACTTCATGACGGGCTCTGTAATATTCTTTTCTACCGTGACTAGGGCCACGAGTGGCTCAGTTGTATAATTGCATTCGCACGCCATGAAGTACTGGGTTTTCGAATCTGTTTTGTCACACTATTGATCTTTGATTTTCGAATCCCGTTTTGTCCCGATAATGTGTCACTAGTTTGTCAACACCATACTCGTGTTCCTGGCTATCACCAAGGTTGTGATCTCCTTGGACACTCCTACCAGACGAAGCGGACTCTTGGTTTAATTTTGATACCGTTGAAACCAATCTTCGATTGAAATCATTGACGGTACCATGGCAGTAATTAAGACATGATAGCGATCCCAACATTAGAAAAATACAAAGTAATGAATGAACGCAGTGTTTACAAGAAGTATTATGACGGGTGGTCATCAGGGTGGTATCAAAGCAATTGCATACTTTATTTCTTTTTCCACCGAAGATGTGATACTATTATTAATTAGAGTTTTATATTTGTTTTATTTTATGTTGTTTTGGGTAGAGTAGAATACATACATGGTATCAATGTTATCTGTATATTGAAGTATGCTACTTGTGATGTCACATGAACTAGTGAAACTAGTCTCCAGTTCTAACGTGTAATCCTGAATGGAATGAATATTATCAGTGGTTTGCATTTTGAGGTATGATGAATTATGGAATTGGTAAGTCCCCATGGTAGTATCTCAGCAAATTGTCGCATGTCCAGAAAACCGTTAATTCTCTGCAATGTTACAAGAACGAAAACCTGTCACGCATTGCTGAAGAAGTGAGGAATATGTACCAGTCTCTGGCCAGCTTGAACCGTGAACCAGACCGCGTGCAGAAACTGATGGACACGGAGAAGAAGATTCTTGAGACTCTGGGGGGAAGGAGGAAGAATAGGTATACAGGGATGAAGGATCTTGCCTGGACACTCCAGCCACCCAGCATGTGCTTCATGTTACACCAGCTTTCAAATACCACTCATATTCCTGTGTGACTTTAACCATTAGTTCACAGCTTTCAGCGGAACAGTATACTCCATACTGAAGATGCGTATGTGGTCCAGCTTCCGGCATATCCAATTTTACCACTACGCTTCATTCATATATACTTTAGAAGTTGCCTTCCCCAAATAATATATTTCTTGAATAATTCCAATGTATGCATACGGTTAATGCAGCTTGTTACGACTTAAATTGTAATAATGCGCGTACATTACAACTTACCATGGTTCAGTTGTTAAAAAATACGGATTTATTACAATTGAAAACGGTATTACAAAAAATAACATTTTACCACATTTTAGGACTTTTACCGCCTTATTACTAGGTCGCTAGAAAGTCATTTTTACAGACGCATGTATCTGTCTGAGGATTAAGTGAAATAATGCCATTCTATTGATTTTTAGTTGTAATTACTTTATTGGTTCCATTTAACGGCATGCGAAATGTATTTCCGAGTCGTTTAAAATGGCTACAAGTAAATACATCTTCTCGCAAAGTAGAATACATGCATCCACACAGACTCAAACGATATCGGGTTTGAACTGATATGCGCTTAATTAGCATGTTAACTGTATGTAGACAATTCCTGCAATTGCCAGTGATGCTGAATGAAACCACGAGGCACGGCATTATCACACATGTTTTGAAAAACGATATGTTTTACTATTTGCTATTAATTACTTCATATGTGTATTTGTTCTCAATTCATATATGATAAGTACAATGGACCAAAGTATTGCCAGAGTTTTCCTGCGAGTATGATCTGAATTATTCAAAGCTGAAATTAGAAAGCTAGCAAAAGAATAAAATGACTCTCAGGTGTCTGCACACATCGTTAGAAAGGGAAATGATGACGTCATTTCTGGTACAAGGCAAACCTTTGGTAATGAATAGGTCTATGGTATTTATTACAAAAGCACTGTAATTAGGACAATCTAGGGTGTACTTTTGGAAATGCAGAATATAACAGGAAAAGGCAGTATTACTTTATAGTTTTGAAGCATGCTGCATTTGCAAACCTGAATGGTATCATTTTTGTCATTGGAATGCATGGCTCAATTCAGTGAAGGTTTGTATGTCATCAAACCTGCTTATATGAAACCATATTCAACAAGAAATATGTATCAATAAATTACATCATGAGACATTCGACAGATTAATGTTATCATCAAATTGTTGGGTGTCCCATTGTCCCTGTGCTATAGTGTGTGCGCTATCAGAATCCGCTTACTGAAGGTTCGTATCCCAAATTGCATCCCAAATCGCATTGCAACACTTGCATGTGCACGTGTGACACTTTGGGCTTTCGTTCAAAATTAAGCAGGTTGGGAACGGATTGAATGACCTCTGATTGTCCTGAAGGTGATCAATACGTGTCACCCGGAAATGTTACTGCCATGTCCTTAAGTTGATATGATATACTGGATTCAGTGCTATATTCTCATATATAACTTATAGCCTATGTTATTTAATGTTAGAGAACATTGGCAAATGACATATTCGGGCAATGGCTGTAGTTAGATGTGATCAAAGATGACAGGTGTGGTTACATGTACAACGGTGGCAGTGGCAGCTAGGTGCCGTTGTACTAGTGTTGGGAATTGGTTGAAATCTCACAATTGATGATTGGTTCAATACTAACGACCAATCATCGAAAAAAAATTGGTTAGCGTCATTTTTTAGATTTTCCTATTCAGGTTGTAGCTGCAGATGAGTATAAAGAAAAAAACATTTGGTTCTCTGTTTTTTTTTAGAAACTGCACAAATTACATTTGCAGATTTCACATCCAGTGTAAAATGATTCAGTTCCAGTGTAACATTAACTTCCCAGATTCTTCAAGAAATATTCAGTCATGACTTTTCAGAAAGTGATGTGAGTTTTCTTAGAAATAAACACGTTTTCCGGCCCTGACAACGTCCTAGATATGTTCCATCATCAAGTATTTCAAACTCTATTACAGCGGTTCCAAAATCGTTTGTGTTCGATTATGAGAAAATGTGATCGATTGCTTGGTTGTTTGGTCACTGCGACCAATCTTCGATTATTTCAATTAATCGGACCACCACTACGTTGTACAAAGCGATCTTAGCGCTAAGGTTACCGTAACTCCCATACCTTAACATAGACTTAAGGCAGTCTTAGGTTGTTTTGTACAACAGCACCCAGGTGTCTGGTGTAATTATGCTTATATATAGTTGATGTACAGGGTTTCATCAAGGTACTGGTGTACTGGATGATGTGCGGTGTAATCGCACAAGCGACATCTTCAGGGGTAGACTGACATTTAATCTCAAAATATCAATGTTTAATTTATATACACATTTATCCATGAAATACAAAGTAGACATGGTAGTGACTTGTTATAGACTTTAGTTGGTGCAGTCTCTTGGGTGTTGGAGACATTTTCAGGTGACGGTTGCAATAATATGTTTCATCAATTTTTCATTCAAATATATTGACCCGTTTTCTGTTACATTGACGGCTATAACAAATGGTATAACGGGATCTATGAATAAACTAGATACAAATTGGCTCCACAAAGCGTGTCTGAAACCTATGTTTCGTAGGATGAATTCTAAGATTCGCATGGAGTTTCGTTGTTTTGTGTCGTAGCTTTCCGGAAAGGGGTAAACAACAATTTCTAAAACGTCAGACTTTCAAGACACGTTCTGCTGACACACCTTAGTGTAAATTTTAAAAAAGCACAAAGCAGCGTGAGATCAAACTCACTTATTCACTTATTTGGTGTACAGATTTTACTTTTATAAAAGCATACAATAAAAGTATCTGATCACTTGCATTATATTCTCTTCACAGTAACGTCTATGGAGAGCTTCCCATCGGCAGGTACAAATAGACTTCGACAAAAGGATCTGGAGTATTCTGCACTGACTTCAGAAAGCTGATAGAAGAACTGCACAAGGAAAAGGTCCGGTCTCATTACACGGGTAGTGTTTATACAGAACAAAGAGGTCGACAGCTTGTTGTACAGGAAGTCAAATGAGTGATGCCAAGAATGGCGTCATGTCATATAATCAGAACGAGCAGGAGCAGGAAAATCAAGAGGAACGTATCTGTACCTGACGATACACGATTTGCTGTGGAGATTTAGCTATAAATTATTTATAGTTGCTTACTAGTTCATTTAAGATCGTGGAACAGATTAAAACAGATTTGTGATGGTGTGTGTCCGTCGATAAAGGTACTGTAGCATTATATCCAATTAAACAAGCATGAAAGTTAGATACCTTCAAATGGTTCAGTGTGGGTGTCCAGCAATCGTGTGTGTTTGAACTTCATCCATGGACCCACGTGGTTACATACTTAATGCTTGACAGACTCTCCTTGAGGACAAAAGGTATGGTCCTATGTTCAATCTTCCTACAAGGATGAGTGCGATGTTTTTAGATAGAAGGTTTGATTGGTTGCATTGTTTGTTGTTTATTGTCTTGTTTTGAAGTGTTTTTGACTGACACTACCTGTTGAATGTACATTTAAGGCTTATATGAATGCTTCTTTACGGATCTTAGACACGCGTTATGTAAATATTACAGTCCAAATCATATTGCCTAGGTTTTATTTGTATCTGTGAATATTTGTACTATCCATTTTTGTACTATATCATTAATAATATTTTTCACGCCAGTATTCAATTCAGGTGGACATCAGTTCTTGTACATACAACTTAGATATGTTTGCTTAGCTTGTCCGTCATTTGGACCTACCATCAAGATACAACATATATATTTGTTACTTTTTCACTCACGTATGTCTTTATTTTTAATTATTCCTGGTGCTTATTACCTGTTTTTAATTCAAACATACTCCAAAGGAATGAATATTGAAACCCAGGAAAATATACATTTGTTACTTTAAAACCTCAGTCTCTTAAGTATCTTATTATTTATAGCATGCATCTATTTCGCACTAACTGTGATACGTAATGCATAATATGTATATGTGTGAACATGTGTAGAATTGCACCATAAACTTAGTTAACTTGCTGATTGTAGCAAGCAATGTACCATTTCTACATGTGTGGTTATCGTCACCGTACCTTTATGCGGTGCAAAGTCCACCGCCGCTCGCTGCACATGATGGTGTTATATTTTCTGGTCTTGTGAGTGAGTACGGCTGTACGCCATTTTCAGCAATATTCCAGTAATATTGCACCAGAAATGGGCTTTACAATCGTGGAGATTCTTCCGTGTCGAAGCGACATTTGTACATCATTTCACAAATAGTTTACAATTAGTTGCCTGGTGACAATCTGTTATAATAGGGAAAGTGATTGCTTAGAACATTCAAGAACATCCACGATGCACTGTGTACAGCAGATTCAGTACTTCTTCAAATCAACTAAATGATATATATAGGATGGGTTTATATTTATCCGGATAGTTTGAAAGAAAACATACTTATTAATAACGAGCTATGGTGTTTAATCATCGCACTGATGTAACGCCTGCCATTTATCACATGAATTGTGACAATCACATCAATAGCGGATTTGTTCTTCTTTTGATAAAAATTACAGTTGAAATGAAATGGAAACACAGATCAGATTATATCATGTATAGATGCTGAAAATGCCATGAAGTAAAATGTCCATAAAAGAGGTATGCTTGTTGTATGTTATGCTTCTTCTCGTCAGCGTCAGCGATATGAACATAAGTATTGTTATATATATGTTTCACGTTGTTCCTGCGTCACGGTTTTAACGTATTTTACGTTTTGTGAATTTTGACAGTCACGTTTATAGTGGTTTTGTTTTTTCATAAAAATACAATAATTGTAATGAAATGGAATTAAAGTTTCAAAAGAAAATATGTATACATCAATATTCATTTGCCCCCAGTGGCGACTTTGTCATTGCAGCGGTTGTATGTGATACCCTCTATGTACAGAACCAAGCATAATTATGTACCGCTAACCAATTGATCTGATTGTTTTCTTAATAGCATCTACGTTGTGCATGTTACAAATTGATATTACATCATAATTTCATTCTTTTTGTTCTCAACTGTTTTCTTAAGATCATTTTGAGACACTTTCTGTGATTGTTCTTTTTTCATATTGCCCTTCGAAGTACAATTTGGTTTCATCTTGGGTAGAAACTACCGATACATAAGCATTTTGACATCTTATTGTTTCATCTTAATGATCTTGAAATAAAACAATTTATCCCTCTTTGGAGGGAAATATATTTTCTGAGAGGAAGAAATTCCTTATTCTCCATTAGGAAGAAAATATCTGCATGTGTAGTTCTAAGACTGGGAATATATCCCTTATAAGCTGTTTCAAATCAACAATACCTTTCTTACGAGCCACGGAGGGTCATATTGACTATTTACAAGTTTCAATTGCTTTATTCCTTTTGTTCATCTGAAATATGTCAGTGAGATATATTCACCGAAGCAGTTTCACACGAGGCATATGTGATTTTATGCGTATTTCGTTAGGTTGGCCGTGCGGAACTTGATGCAGGACGCATATATCTGCATATACATCCCATGATACTGCTACAACTATTACAAACAATATTATGGATGTCAACCTCTTCTTTATTGTATACACAGTGTATCTGGGCTTTTCCTTGACCCTTCGTCAGGCGAATGACCCGACGAAGGGCAAGGAAAAGCCCAGAAACGTGAATACAATAACAATTGAAGTTGACGTCCATAATAGTTTGTCATATACATGAATACCAACTTCTACATGCCTCTCAAGAACCCCATACTACAATAAAAATTGAAGTTGACATCCATAATAGTTTGTCATATACTTGAATACCCACTTCTATATGCCTCTCAAGAACCCCATACTACAATACAAATTGAAGTGGACGTCCATAATAGTTTGTCATATTCTTGAATACCAACATCTATATGCCTCTCAAGAACCCCATACTACAATACAAATTGAAGTTGACGTCCATAATAGTTTGTCATATACTTGAATACCAACATCTATATGCCTCTCAAGAACCCCATACTGCTACATGTTGTGGAATACCTCTACCCGATCGCATGTACTGAGTGATAATACACAGAAACCATTGAAGCAAAGAAAGGTCAACTCTTTCTCCAGAACCGTTGCAAAATATATTTTCACATTCTTATTTTAATTTTCTTCATTTCATATATTTTAACAGTTCGAAACAGCTCTTCGCTGTATAAATATCCTTAAACACGTTTTTCCTACTCAAATGTATGCGCAAAACCTATGTACACACAGCTCAAATTCTGTAGACTCAAAGTGTATGTAAGTACTGTTTACGCCCTTAGACTCTCCTTGTGAATCCTTGAAAGGTATCTTGTATTGGGCTTCTGTTAAAACATTCCATATGTCCGATTTGCTAAACTTTGAATTGTTCAGCTTAGTAAATAACTGATTATGAATTTGCAAAATCGTTGTGTTATTTTTTATGACTGTGGAATGAGAGTGCGTGACATTTCTCAGTTGTGTGTCGTCACTATGTTTCCAGTTTGCCTAATCCGGTTTCCAGTGGTAGTGGGAGTGACGTGGGTGACGTGACGTCACTATGTTCCCAGTTTGCCTAATCCGGTTTCCAGTGGTAGTGGGAGTGACGTGGCGTGACGTGACGTCACTATGTTCCCAGTTTGCCTGATCCAGTTTCCAGTGGGCGTGGCGTGGCGTGGCGTGGCGTGGCGTGGAGCGGCGTGGCGTAGCGCGGCGTCACTATGTTCCCAGTTTGAGTGATCCGGGTTCCAGTGGTAGTGGGTGTGGCGTGGCGTGGCGTAGCGCGTGGCGTGGCGTGGCGTGGCGTGGCGTGGCGTGGCGTGGCGTGGCGTGGCGCACTCACTCATCTTCTACCTATATATCAATAATACGTAAATGATTAAGTCAGGGCAAGACAATCCTGTCATCAGTATGATATACGATTCTCTCCGTCTTGATGAGATGACCTCCAGCTACAGATCCACCGATCCATTAGCGGTCGTCACGTGATATACGTCACACAGAATAATATAGCAGTTTCTAACATGGATTCCTACACACGTTTAGCATAACATGTCCATGGACGTCTTGTTCATTCAAATACGTCAACAGAAACAGATGGCATCGCCTACATGAATACCATTTCAGGATGAGGTTAAGTTTGTCGCTTGATTACGTTTTCTCTCAGAGGTAAGAAGCTTCAATGTCCACAAGTACCGTCAAATAGAGACAGTTTCGTTATATTACTATTTCTCTATTTCCAAACACGAATTCAAATGCTCCACTTACCAAAGGAAATCACTAAGTTTCGTATTTTCGTGTGCTCTGCCTCAAACGGTAATCTGTGTCACCAGCAGCCTTAGCATGACTCAAACACACACCAAAAATATACACAACACGTTCATTTAATTCCATCAGCAGCATCTCTGGCTGGATGAATATCCAGGTCCATCCATTACGCTCCAGCTTCCATTTTAAGTGAAGAGTATCGCTACAGCTATCAGTTTAAAACTTTGTGAAGTAACTCTTTCGGGACGAAATGCAATTCTCGGCCTTAATATAGTTCGCTATGAATGATTGAAGCTTGGTGTTTAAATGGATTGCTCTTTCAGGATTAATGTGCCTGACAAGGACTGACGTTGATATCTTATACCATTGTCTCACGTGACCAAATTCGTGTATATTGTTCACTCGAGGAACAGTCTTTATTAGCTGATGGACGTCAACAAACACACTTCAACGTTTGGACAACATATTTTAATTAGACTGAACCTTCGGTGGAAACACTGCAACTGAGAAGTTACTTGAAATTTACAAAAATGTAAAGGGGAAAAAATATACAAATAAGTCAACGAGAAACTTAGTCCATGAACACACAATGCCATTTAGAAAGTGGTCAAATGTAACATATGTTATTTTGGGGATTACACCTCCCTAGTAAAGTACAGATTCTCGTCCTCTTGTTGGGTTGAGCCGCGGTGGCTGAGCGGGTTAGGCATCTGATTTGTGTGCTGGCGATTAGGTGCCTGACTCTGAGGGTGTGGGTTCGAATCCAGGATGGGACACATCCCAACAACAGTACTAGAATCCTCTGTCTGACATACAAGTGCCTCCATGGTTTGGCTCCCTCCTACTTGTCTGAACTCCTACATCCGTATGTCCCCGCACGCAACTTGCGCTCAAACACACAAAACCGACTGGTCATCCCATCCTACAAACTGAAATCCTTCGGACACCGATCATTCTCTTACTCCGCGCCTGTGCTTTGGAACTCTCTCCCATGTGCCCTTAAAAGCTCTGCCACAATTGACATTTTTAAGTCCAGACTTAAAACCCACCTTTTCTCAGTATGTTATGTATAACTTCATCTGTAAATACTCCAGTGTAAATATTCTGCAGCGCTTTGAGCATGCCTTAGGGTGTGGAAGGGGCGCATTATAAATATGCATTTATTATTATTATTACTTTTCTAAGTAAGTTTAATCCCAAATATATATGTTATAAAATAGACCAGTTTATCTTTGTTAGATTTGTGGAAATACGACAGCAACTGCAATAGCGATACATCTTACCTAATACGACGGCTATGCGTTTTTTCTCAGTACATCACAAGACAACATATGTACATTAGCTCTTAACACTTCATGATTTCTTGATGTATAAAGCCCTTCTGGCTGTAACATAAAGAAAACAGTATGTGAATGTCCTATATAGTGACACTGCTTATATAAACTCTCCGCTCAGATCTCCATCCATCAGTCAAGATGTCGCCGACGTTCCTCCTGGCATTGATGATGGTTGTCTCTCAGAGTGGGTTGCTGTATGCCCACGTGGCACTTTTAAACACGAACCCTTGGATTAGGAAGTTCTCCATCTGTGTTCCTCGCGAAGGTAAGAAAATACACGATCTGAGCGGGTGTTGGTTAACGCCGCAGTCAAACTGTTCACACAATATTAGCGAGGTAGTAACGGAGTCAACCAAACATGGACAAGAACCTATCAGTTAAAGACAGACTCCCCTAATATACTCCCATACTAGTGAAGACAAGCATTTTATGGACGTAAACGGTTTACTCCCATGAACTACATCCCATTTGAACTACATCCCAAATTAACTACAGGGATTAATTAGGGATTAATTATCTGAGTAGAGGCACCCCCATGGCATGTAATGAGCACAGCCCATCAGCTCTCCCAGAAGAACTACATGTTTAAACTCCTATTGACCAGTAATTATGTTGTTGTAAAGGTAATCTAATAACCAGAAAGTAAACTACAAGAGAGACGGGTATGTTGTAGTTAATGAATGTTTCATGTTTACAATAGTCACCCTTAATTAGAAGAGAGAACATATTTTAACATGGACATTTTAAACGCGAGGAAAATGTTTCATTGCAAAAATATGTCGAAGCAGGTTTATTCATAGCTAGTGTGTAGCAGATAGACTAAGCGACTGACCGGCCATAACAATGTCAACAATATTTCTACTTATGTGTAAACCTCCAGACTGTATCTGCATAAGATCTTTCGCCGGTCAATGCTTCTTCATATGTACAAAAGTAAATGTCGTCACAGGCAACGCATAACGGTAGTAGCTATGTCGTCTTCATCCGTATAAGGTTACAGTTAGTGACAATAAGTAATATGTAATAGATATATAAGACATATCTTCTTAGGTAGTTGAAAATGTTGAAACAAATACAGAGATGGACATTCTTCCATTTGTTTGTATCTACAATCCTAATAACTGTACAGTTATGCCCATTATAAAAGCAAATCTTCCAATTTTGTATAAAAGTGATACTATGTAAAAAGGTTTATCAGTCAGTGTTACAAAATGTCAAACACCTCGATACGAAACTTGTTCAATCATAACTGAAGACTGCAAATTTACATTTTGAGAAGCCAAACTATTTACTATCAGAACCAACATGAACTGCCGCAGCAAAAAATGTTATATATGTTTTATTTGTTTTGTTTTGGGCAAATCCATAAAGCAGACGCAGGTGACAGCATGTAGTTAGTCTGTGCACTGGACCATAACATGAGTGGTTTTAAGCTGTAGTTCTTATGGGAGGACACCACGTAAACACGACGTGTCTGAGTATATTCTTACTCCTTATCATTTCAACGGAAGAATATTCTCCCAAACGTCGTGTAATCGTTATCACGAAGGAGTAAGAACATACGAACGTCGTGTTTCTCAAAAGAAGGTGAGGTGGTGAGTTGAAATTGGGTTTAACGTCGTAAAGAATATTTCGCCTTTATGACGACGTGCATGCGTGTTCTGCGCGGCTGTCGTACTAGCCAAACGTATTTTTATAGTGCAGCCCACTGAGATACCAGGCCGCAGTGAAGCATGAATAATGACACAATACTGACTCCGAGCCGACCAGTCCTTGTTGTATTAATGCCGAGCGCCAGGCAGGGACCAACAAGTACCATATTTTAACGTCTTTTATGACGCGGTCGGGGAACTTCCAAAAGAAAGATGTTGAAATCCAAAAATTAATGTGCATCACTTCTAAATGTCGTTCAAAGATTTTATACATATTCCGTATGTAATGACGAATACGATGTGTTGTTGGATATACAATGTATATTTGGTCAACTCTTTTTATTTCCAATAGAGATGTAAATGTTAATGCTGCCCATACACTATATCCTATGTCAGCTACACGTCGTTCATTGTATACGGATACCTAAAGATGCCCGTGTCCTTATATACTCATGTCAATAATGGTTGTCACCCCCTTCAATATTTTTAATTGGAGAGGGGGTGTGGGGTAGGGGTGTGAGGTGTGTGTGGGGTTGGGGAGAGGAGGGGGTGACAACCATTATTGGCATGAGTATAGTTAATGTTCATAAGAACTGTGTACATAAACGCGAGTATGCAATGCTCACATTAACATTTAAATGAACACGTATCTACACGCATATTCTTACATAAACTCACACATACCTACATGAACTCACATCCATGCATGGAAAATCAGTATTAAGACAAACACACTTATATGATTGTTTGATCGGCATTCTAGAAGTTGTTGAGAATTCTAGAACTTTATGGATGACAACTTCTTGTTTATTGCAAAGAGCGACGTATCGATGTAGATTCTTACTTTTAGCTTGATAACGATGTAAGAATCTATATTGAAACGTCGTTCTGTGCACTAAACAAGAAGTTGTTATCCATAAAATTGTATGTTTCATTTTTCACATATATATGTATGAACAGATTTACTACAATCATCATTATATAGGTAAGCATTCATATACTTGGACAAAGCCACATAAACATACACCTGTATAATATTAAGTGATAAAGCCCTTTTCATTTCATGACATCCATTTTAAACCTTGTAAATAGACAATATTCAAGAAATTAATTTCACGTGTAAATTTCACGCTTACTGGAGTATGAACGCTTTAAGCCATGCAAGTTAAGGTCGTGCAAACGCCAGGGCTTGCGACATACTCCAGTAATTCAACACAATGTGACATTTATTTCTTATATAATTCGTATTTTGAAGTTTAAGGGGGTGCCAGTTTGACTGCAACGCACATTTTAGACGATTTGCCTCACCGGTTACATTGGAATGCAGTGACCCAACAGCGGTTATAATCGTCACACTTACGTAAACCAAAGTAGTTCCAATTGAATGTACAAATACATAACTCATTATTTATCGAAAGTTATTTTTTAAAGACTTACAATCATAAATTACTTTAAGCCAACATATGTTAGGGGTATTGTTTGATTCTTTAGCGTTATATAAAGTAATGAGACACTTTGCGCATGAATACCTGTGTGTGAACAATATTCAAACTGTAAACTGCGAGACCACCCATTGGAACAACCAATCATAATGTGCCTATTGAAACTTGCAGGAGGAATAGTACCAGTAACTAAACAAAAATCCCACTTCGTAAATCAACTGATTGAAGTGATGAATTTCATTAATACATGTACTTACATCGTATCTGTCCACTTATGGAAAATGAGAGAAAACTGCAATTTCATCAATAATTTTTCACTAGACCAAACTTCTTTAAAAAGAATTTACTTTTTAACAAACGAAAACTAGGATTAGTTATATAATTATTCAAAATGTGTAAAAACATTATGCTGCTATCTAACACAAACAGTATGTTTCACAATTGAATATTGTACTCTGATATACGTTCTCACGGCTCGGTGAAGTTGTTGATGTATGCCTGTATATTAATATGTACATTATGTTAATGTTGTACCCCTAATACCGCGGATAGCGGCCTGGGTGTGAATAAAGTTCGGTTCAGAGAAAGGACCGCTCAACAGGCACATGCCTGTTATCGGATTAATTGTGATGATGAATGTGAAACTACAGATGCTGAAAATTCATTTTGTCATTATCCCACTTGTTGGGCCTGCAATTTGGGCGAGTTTTCTAACTCAGCTGTTTATCGACGGGGCGCCTTGAAACAGTCTCGGGAATTTCTTATGAAAAGTAGTGTAAACGTCAAAGGTGGAGTGTATACTTTGTAAACGTCACTTCCTGAAGATTGTTGAGAAATGAACGGGCCATTGTTGAGAACTGATTGTCAAGTAAACCAAACAAATCACCGGAAATCCGGTCAGCCTCAAAATTCAGAATTTATGTTAATATATCATGTCACATGCCGTGCATAAATACGCATATCTTATATATGTACATGACTGTGCAATTGATTTGCCCTTGCGTGTGTTTGTTGCCACCGAGGGAACACTTGTTCGGAACCACCTGGTACAATGACCACTGATTAATTGTGATTCCTAAACATATTGGTATTATAAATTAGGAGTCATGCATCCACAGTAGATATGTTTGTTACGTGATGAAATGATTTGCATATATTTACATAGAAAAGGCATGCATTTTATAAGACTGGCTTAGTCAAGGTTACGTAACTCGCCACAGCGCTTTTCTGTTCCGTTTCCAGAATATGCCACCTGTGTTGTTCAGCCAGACCCAACAGCTCCTTACAAGGTTACTGGCACAGTAGACTTCTCTCAAACTGACGTAAGCATCACTTGTAAAACTGTAAATGTAAAACGGTTAGTGCTAATTATTCAAGGGAAGTTTTCAATCTGTGCATGAAGTAAATGTACATATGTAATGTGGCATGCTGATGGCATCAATTAGTTTTTTGAAAGATGAAGTGCTTCATTAAGAGATATGAAGATCTGTATCTCTTCACACTGTGTCATGACGGTGTGTTTTGATGGCTTTCAAAATTATTTCAAACATACAATCTGATCTTGTGTGAGTTTGGAGCACAAATAACCAGTCCACTTACATACTAACGAATCCCGAATGCTTAGTCGACATGGCTTTATTGACCACATACGTGACCAGAAATAAAATGAAAATGAAAATACCAATGGTCTGACATAATTTAATTTCAAAGCGCGTGTGCATATACATACACAAAATGATGAATAGTGTAAAAGGAAATAATATTTTACAAATATTTGGCTTGCTCAAAAGTTGTTTGATCATTGTAACAGTCATCTTGACCCTACTCAAACAGTTGCACAGCTTTATGATACACATGTGGAGAAACTTTCCAAATTTGACGTATCAAAATGGCATCTTGTTTAATATAATCCCGTTCAGAAGTCTCGTTTTTTTAGTGAATATCTTAGACCATGATAATTCAACAGTGATTTTTCTGACTATGAAAATGTTGTTTTTATACTGATAATGCTTTAGTGTCATATAAGGTGTTCTTTCATGTTACAGTACTGCGGTTACTATGGTGACCTGTTGATCAGGGTCACTCTAAAGGGTTTCCCACGCTCTGACCCCGTGAAGGATCATGGCTTCCATGTTCATCAATACGGTGACCTCTCTGACGGATGCACAAGTACGGGAGGTCATTACAATCCCTTCAACATGACTCACGGAGCTCCCTCTGATGAGAAAAGGTTTGATCCCAAGCTTCACTTATATTTTTATCATGCATTTGGGTTATTGAAGGTCTCGGTTAACGGTTGGCAAGATGAGTTGATGGCCATGAACCCTACCACACCTCTGCTAAATGGTTCTGATTCGGTTATGTATGGAACGCCGTCATTTTGTCTCAGATTTAGGATAAACAGCGAAAAAACTTAAACGGTAAGATCAATGTATATTGGTATGCTGCTCTGTGATATGCTCAAGTGAAGGATCGGACATTACGTTCATGTCCAAACTGTAATTATTACAACCACATGGCTGATTGTCAACTCTAATGATTTGTTATAGACACGTGGGTGACTTCGGGAACATGCCTGTTCAAGCTGGTCAAGTAAATCAGTTCCGTCGTGACTGGATGGCGACCATTTTTGGCCGGTACTCCATAATTGGCAGAGCAATAGTGGTGAGCATAACTGTCCATTCCTTGCACTTCCTTCCTTACTATTAAACTATTGCTATCAAATTAAACAACACCTGAAAAGAAACCATGGAGAGAAAACATTCGGACGTTCTTCATAAATTTTCCCCAGAACGTCATCAACAGATGGTAATAATATAGTAATATGTACGTGTACTGGAATGAACATGACAAAATGAACTCGGGAAAAGGAAATGCTTCTGTAAGGGCGACTCTTTGACAAAAGGAACTACCACCACCACCACCACCATTGTCAATGAGGTTATATTTTAATCAAATCATTACAGGACAACCATCGGTGTGATCTTAACCTGAAAAGCAGATTACTTTTTAAGTGCTAAGCTGCTGAGTGCAGTTCATTTCAGGTTTGATATTTGGGAATACTGATAATGTGTTCTCACCTGCATTGCAATCACGGTGGTCAATCCCACAAATGTACAGATTGTTATGGAAAGATGGAAAACTTGGCCTTTTCAGAGACTGAAAAAATACAATTTTCTTGACAGTGGTTAAATGTTAATTTGTATTTATGAGAAAAATTATGAGAGGTGCTTATCAGTAGGGTCATTGCAATTCCCGGCTTCCTTGAAAGTGGAGAAGGTGTTATCTCCCAGGAAGGAATGACAGTTGCCAAGCAGGCATTCTTAGTGTAAGATTCACAAAGACACTTATTAACTCGGTTTTCTTTTTGTGACAGGTTCACGCAGGAACTGATGACCTCGGTAGAGGTGGGGACCCTTCCAGCAAAGAAAACGGAAATGCTGGATCCAGAGTGGCCTGCTGTGTCATTGGGCGTGGAGTAAAATGAAGTGCCGCAGACAACCAATAACTGGTGTATTCCGAATAAACTGTCGATATCTCTTGAATACTGAATACCAACACTGTACCGGAACAATATATACATGGTGCTATCTGAATGGTTGAAGATAGCACCATAAAGATATCTCGTAGTCGTTTTACACTATACGTATGCATTATGTTTTTCATATAATTCTTTCTCTCAGTCCCACTTTTGAACAAATAATATGAAGGTTGTTTTTCCTCTACATACTCAACATAATCACTTCCATATGCAGTGGTCCCGGGTGGTTAAAATGAACCATGACGTCACAGATGTATCACCAGTTGCGTCTATACTGTTGCATTGATCAGAGCAAAACAATATCACGGGACACTTACCTTAGTCTGTATGTACAGTATAATATAACAGCTTAATATGTATATAAAACAAATCTGTATGTCAATAAAATGATATATCATATTTGTATCATTATCTATATGGTTCACGATAGGTAAGAACAAGGGAACATATGATTGAAAAAAACATCGGACAATCATGGTCACCGATTGCATAATAGCCTTTACGTGTCTACAAGATAGGGTTGTTTTGACAACGGGATTTATTAAGATGTTTCATATTGTAAACCTGATCAAATATTTACAAGCAAGAGTCCTACAGTGCTTTTTGACACAATGGAAACTTTGAAGTCATCTATCGTGTCATACAGTCTTGTACATGAAGATTTTGCCAGTCTAAATGTTAAAGCTTGCATGAAATTGTTAAACAGTCATATTTTTGGTTTAGTTGGGTAAATCAGTTGAGGGGAGGGGAATGATCTTTATTATGCCGCAGACTGGGAGAACAAAGTACATGTGCAGACTGGCATGTTAATTATCTTATATTATTTACCCGAGAAGTTCCGGTGTAGAATTGGTCTTCAGCAAAAGGCTTGTTGTAAACGGCTCCTAACGGGACAGGGTGGCCAGAGTTGGTGGGACATTGTATTCAAATTGCGTAGATCAATGCTTGTCATGTTAGTCACTGGATTGTCTGACTTGATTATTTACAGACCGGCGTCATATAGCTGGAATATTGCTGGGCGCGGCGTTAAACAACAAACAAAGTATAAAGTAATGCTGTATATTTTTTTGCGCAGACAATAATCCCATTGATCTATTCCTCAACTTAAACCTGTTTCATTCATGAAAGTGATCAAGAATGATTGCCCAGAACTTTCAGTATATACTGAGGGATAAAAATAAGGGATCACATTAAAGCAAAAGTGTTCCTTTATGTTGTTCCCCGGTTTCTTCACAAGATTTGTATCGCACAACTTGTGAAGAAACCTGCAAAAAAATATAGAAACAATTGTGCTTTCATCTGATCCCTTATTTTTCCCCTCAGTATATGTGGCCCATTTACCAATTATATGTACTTCTGATGGTGTGATAGTGTTTCAGAAGAATTTATTATAACAATGATAATACTTTTGATTACCAGAAATGAGAAGGCTTTTTGGTCCAATACAATAGTTTTGCAATAGTCTTGAAACTAGACATTAAGTTATTTGCAGCTCGCCCAATTTTCGAACAATATCGTAACTAAAACATAGGAGGTATTCACACACTCAATACGGTTTCTGATGTCGCTGAAGTCGTTTCAGTTTAGAATCTCAAGGACATCATCCCGACACAACAGAAACTTGTAGAACCTGTTGAGAGAAACGCTCGTCCACATGCCCATCAGGAGCGGTGATTGGTCACCTCAAATGGGACAAAGCAAGTGTAAAATGAGTGTAGACAACCTTGTCATTGCGTTATCCAAAGGTATACTGAGTATAATCTCTTCAGGAGGTTTTGTTTGTGTAAGACTGTGTTAGTTTCAAACTCTCTCTTGATATGTGATGGTCCGATTCAAACTCTCACGTGATGGGTGATGGTCCGATTCAAACTCTCACGTGATGGGTGATGGTCCGTTTCAAACTCGCCGACGGGAGATGGTCATTTCAAACTCTCACACGATTGCTGATGCTTAGACATATTCTGTCCGTAATCTTCTAAGATGGTTGTTCCATAAACGTTCAGTCTTCAGGTATTTTTTGACACAATAACTTGGTCAGTGAGAGTCTACTGTCTACAGCAGAACATTATATATTGTCTCTGACATATCATCTCAGTAGTGAGTGGGTGAGTTTAGTTTTACACCGCACTCAGCAATATTCCAGAGTAAACATAGTGTGAGGGGCACATCATTACGGAATGTGCATTTAGGAACAATATCTTATATTAACAGAACATCACGCAAGAAGCTTTTCACTGGTTAAGCAATGTGTGTGCGTGTGCGGCGACAGCTGTTTTGAAGACTGGTTCTAGTCAGAACTAAACTGATTTCTGCATAATCAAGCATCGATCTACATCATAGGCGTGTTCAGACCCACAGTTAGCCAAGATGATCCCGACCACGTCTCTTAAATACGACGAGCGGTAAAAGCAGCCCTACTCGTTTAACCCTGAATAACAATAAGAATGTTTGAGAATATGCATGCGCATAATGCCTGAATATTTAATTAGACTACATCAGACTGAGCATATAGTGGAAATTTACAGTTCAGTGATAGCAACAAAAATAGCATAAACTGAGAAGCAATTGAATTTAATATTTTACAAATGAATAAAATCAAGTCAACGTGAATCTTAATCTTAATTAGGTTTGGCTACATATGTACACATGTAGTCACTTTTATGATATCGCTGGCTGTCACATTAAGAAGACAGTTACTGTTCACTGTCTTATATCGTGACCCTACTCATATAAACTCCCCGCTCATGGATCAGATCTCCATCCATCAGTCAAGATGTCGCCGACGTTCCTCCCGGCATTGATGATGGTTGTCTCTCAGGGTGTGCTGATATATGCCCAGGAAGCACGTTTACACAAGAACCCTTGGATTCAGAAGTTTTCCAGCAAACCGAAGAACAATTGTGTTCCTCACAAAGGTAAGAAAATACCCCCCTAGTGAATGTTGGTTAATGCCGCAGTCGAAATATCTAACCATCGTTAGTAAAACGTTGAGTCTGTCAAATATGCTCAACCGATCCACACTGTTAGCACCCACCAAACCCGACAAACCACACGATCCACACCTTTTGATACCAACCTTTCGATACTTAGGTGTTTTCGTATATGAGTGAATGAGTGCGTGAGTTTTACGCAGTTTTTAGCAATATTCCAGCAATATCACGGCGGGGTCCCAGATAGCATTCGGACGTTTGCCCAACGTTGGCAATGTTGGCAAAACCATTGCCAACGTTGGGCCAACGTCTGAATGCTATCTGGGATACACCAGAAATGGGCTTCACACATTGTACCCATGTGGGGAATGGAACCCGGGTCTTCAGCGTGACGAGCAAACGCTTTAACCACTAGGCTACCCCAATACCCCTCCTTATATGATGACTTGACACGTTTATGGATAACAACTAGGTTTGGAACGAACGTTGAGGGATGTCTCAGTTTATCAGGAGAGGGGGAGCACACACACACACACACACACACGGAGAAATCCATATAACGACACTAGATATGGGCTTCGACACGGGTCTTTGGTGTGACGAGCGAACGCTTTAACTACTAGGCTACCCCATCGGGCCTACGCAGAGACGCATACACACGCGCAACCCCAACCCCCACCCCAACCCCTACACATGTACGCACACAAGAACGCACACTTGCAAACCCACCCATAGACTTTGATTACAGCACGAATAACCCCTCTCGCAGCACCGGTTATATGTAGATTACCCTGCCACGTGCACCCACTTGTATAATAATAACTGTAGGAGTAGGGAACCAATCTAATATCAAATACCATGTGACAAGTCTAACCAGTTTTTCGTATTTCTATCTTCTTTCATAAAACGGATGTCTTATGCCTTAAGACATCCGGTTTACAGCGGTTTATGAATAGGCACAGTGTTCTGCCGCATCGGAGCATGTGTCCTTGTTTCTTATGTACTGAATGTATGTCAAGGATATTTTGGTGAAATGGAAAACATTTTCGTAAAATTGTTTTGGTTACATAACACCTGCGCTCAATAATGGACAAATGCTTACATAAGCATGCATGTACTTACATACATTCATTATACATGCATGTCTTAATACTCGACAACATATATTTACATTTCTTTAAATGGCAGCTTACCATCATCTAATCAAGGCCAATCAAGAATAACCCTTCCCACCCTGTGTCTATCTGGCTTCATAGCCAATATCTGCAATCACAACAACTATCAGTTATATCATCACACTGTACACCAACCTCTCAAACTGTATATATAGAAATATCTGTCATGTATATATTTCTCCTTGTGCATATGTTGTGTATCCCTTGCTTGATAACAGTGTTAGCATCTACACCGGAACGTCGCATCTATTGTAATAAAGAAGGTGAGGTGAGGTGAAATTGGGTTTAACGTCGTGCTTGAGAATATTTCGCTCATATGACGACGTGCATGCGTGTGTATGTGTATGTGCGGCTGCTTGTACTAGCCCAGACTTAGGTTGGTTTTATAGTGCTAGCCATCTGAGATACCATGCCGCAGTGAAACATGAATACCCCACTCAGACACACTATACTGACTCCGAGCCGACCAGTCCTTGTTGTACCCATTAATGCCGAGCGCCAGGCAGGGACCAACAAGTACCATATTTATAGTCTTTTGGTATTACGCGGTCGGGAATCGAACCCGCGACCTTCCGCTCTCCGTGCAGACGCTCTAACCACTACACCACGGAGGCGATACTTGTAATAAAGAAGTTGTCTTTCCATAAAAAGTGTTCCTCTGTATACTTACATTGAAATGCATGTACTAAATGAACGTGCATATGCTTTCATCAACTCACATGTATTTTGAACATAATTATGATTATGCTTTACATAAAACTAAATACAAATATATAAATAAGCATGTTCTTACTTAAACTTACGTATAAACGTTCATAAATGCACACATAAACTTATATAAAACCATACATATACTTTCATAAATCCACACATATACTTGCATAAATCCACACATATACTTATATAAACGCATTACATAATGACGTAGATAAGTAGATACTAGTAGAAAACGTCGCAACCACCCATGTTCGTTTTAAACTGACATTCTAAGAAACGCACACACTTGCATTGACTTACATAAACGTGAATATACCATCTCAGCGTATATCGTTTTTCACTGCTAGTTTGTTGTTTAACGCCGCACTCAGCAATGTTCCAGCTATATGGGGGCGGTGGGGTAGCCTAGTGGTTAAAGCGTTGGCTCGTCACGCCGAAGACCCGGGTTCGAATCCCCACATGGGTACAATGAGTGAAGCCCATTTCTGGTGTCCCCCGCCATGATATTGCTGGAATGTTGCAAAAAGCGGCGTAAAACCAAACTCAGTCAGTCAGTCCAGCTATATGACAGCAAGTAATCAAGGATGAATCAAACAATTCAGTGATGGACAATGTCAGCATCGATCTGAGCAGTAGGGATACTATAATATGCATCAGCGAGTCTGACCACCGTTAGCTACATCTTACGACGTATATGGGGTTCTGAAAAGGAGTAAATTCCAAAAAAGGATCACCTCGGGTAAATAATATAAGATAAGTCACATGCCACTCTGTACACTACAACACAATCTCTTAAGTATGAGTGAGTGAGTTGGGTTTTACGCCGCTTTTAGCAATATTCCAGCAATATCACGGGAAGGGGGGGGGGGGGACACCATAAATGGGCTTCACACATTGTGCCCAAGTGGGGAATCGAACCCGGGTCTTCAGCGTGACGGGCCGACGCTTTAACCACTAGGCTACCCCACCGCCCCCTCTTAAGTATGAACTGCTGTATCCCAGTCTGGAGGCAGAATAAAGAATAAAGCCCATTCCACTCCACTGATTTACCCAACTTAACCACAAATAACACAGAACAGTGAAACATTATCACTTAGTACCAGGATGCATGCATAATGCTTCAGAATGACAAATATATTTTCATCCTACACACCGAATGGCACGATATATATCAAGCAATAGTCCAGCAATTCCTGTCTTTGGTGTCTTCATTTCACATGTGAGGTATGTCCGATGCTATCCCCTGTATTTTATATATCTTATGATCCCTTTTTCCCCCCGATGAACAATGACTTCCTGTCGACGTTTTCCTCCAATGGAGAATTATACGATCAACAATTTGCCAACACTTCGTATTCGGGGAACGGTAACCGGTGGCACTCGGTTCAACTGAAACAAATCTGAAACGTATGGTACAGCTATACGAAATCCCTTATGAAGCGAATACCTGCATATATATGTATTGTATATACTCAAATGTGCCGAACATAAACACGGATAACTTACATAAACGTTTATCATATTTCATATTAACCAATGCTAGTTTATGTAACTGATCACTGCGTTCTTGTGTGTCTTTTCTAGAATTTGCCACTTGTACTGTTCAGCCAGACCCAAGCGCTCCTTACAAGTTGACAGGCGCTGTACGCTTCGCTCAAACAGATGTAAGTGACACTTGTGCCTACATGACGCAAGGAAGTGCCTCTTAAAGCAAATCAAGCGCTGAATATTTAAGAACAGTTGTCTGTCTTTAAATTATATGTATCGTATTGCAGGGCACAGGTGAAGCGTTCAAGTAGGTCTGTCACAAGAGAAAATCCTTTTAGATCTAATAAAGATTTACAGTCACGCTGTTTAATCACATTTGTTAATAACCCATATTTTGCAATAATAATATGGTACAAGGTTGACCGAGTTACCGACCAAACAAACCCTATTCGTAATTTTAAGAAGTATCTAATATATTGTATCATTCTAGTTATATCATAAGCATGTGAGTTTGTGAATCACTATCAAATAGTTATGACACCAGGTGTTCGCGAAAAAATGGGCGTACCCATCAGTGTTACCCGTCACAAACACACTCAAAGGCGCTGCAACTGAGCTTTGGGTGTGTACCATGATAAAATGCTTTACCTTTATGACTATGAAAAGACTTGTGTCGTTAGTATTCTTATAGTTGTTTTTGTTGTTGTTCATTCACGGCAAACATATGTCCTATGTTTGCTTTCACAGTATTGTGGTTACCATGGTTACCTGTTGGTCTCGGTCAATCTGAAAGGTTTCCCGCTGTCTGATCCCTTGACGAAACATGGATACCATGTGCATGAATATGGTGACCTCTCCAACGGATGCACAAGTACGGGGGGTCACTACAATCCGCTCAACATGACTCACGGGGCTCCCTATGACGAAATACGGTTGAAAATCACCTATATTTTTTACATATATTTTACGTGCTCTTACTTAGATTAGGTTCTTGAACCCTGTTGCATGTGCCTATCCAACAATGTGATCCTATGACTTAGGGGACACACAACATTGGCTTAGTTCTTACATCGGAAGAGGGCCCGCTTTCGGAAGCGACTAGTCTAAAGGATTATAATTTTGAAATAAATTAATGGCCAAATGTATGTGTAATGTATAAATCGTCGATTTAGAGTAGGTGTGCTGTTATGTGTCAGTAGTATGTTGTATATATGGAGTATGTTTATGAAAAATATATCAGGTATTTTCTTGACGGTACCACGATGTCTACAAGACATTTTGCACAATAATAAGACGGAGACGATGTTTAACTTTACCGTCACTGATTGCAGGAAAGGGTACCTGGTGGTTATTGAAGAAATACTACAATACTACAATAAAAAAAAAAAAAAAAAAATACTATGTGGCTGTTTATGTTTCAGTGTTAGCCTATTGTTTGAAATGTTTAATAATGCAAATATAATAAGTTTGATTTACTTTGTTTTTCAAAACCATTTTATCCATTTCAGTAAGATCTTTATGCATGCTTGTTTGGTCCAGATTGTGTCTGGACTCTAAGGCATCCCGTTAGTTGCATGGGTTGCTGGAGAGCAATTCCAACCCGGATCTCCACGGCTACCCTGTCTCCATAAGCGATAAAAGAACAATCTGAGATCAAAATATAAGTATATTCGTACAGCAACGAGTCTGATTTTTAAATGGTATAATTTGTCATGCTTACAGACACGTCGGTGACTTTGGGAATATTCCGGCCCATGATGGTCTAGTTAAACACTACCATCGGGACCGGATTGCAAGTCTTTTTGGACATTACTCTATACTAGGAAGAGCAATCGTGGTGAGTTCTTGTGTCCCCATTCCTACCTGCATTTTACATTAAAACACAAACCAGCCAAATATCACATTTAATTTTGTCACACTTGCCTGCATCGTTAATAGATCACTGGGCAGAGAGGCGTCCAATTCCTGAATAGTCGCTAAACGAAATGCGAAAACTTTTGTAGACAGTGGTTATATTTCAATTCATTCTACATGACATACATTATGAGAGTACTTACTATTAAGGCCATTGCAATTCCCAGTTTATCTGAAAGTAGAGAAGGTTTTATCTCCAAGGAAGGAATGACAGTTGCTAAGCAGATACTCAGTGTAAGATTCACAAAGACACTTAGTACATTGTTTTTCTTGGTGTGACAGGTTCACGCAGGAACTGATGACCTCGGGAGAGGTGGGGACCCTTCCAGCAAGGAAAACGGAAATGCTGGATCCAGACTGGCCTGCTGTGTCATTGGGTATGGAGAGGAGTGGTATGCAGCAGACGAAGAGTAACTGATTTATTCTGGAGAAACTGTCAGCATAAACACGAATAATGAATAGTTATACCGAACTGCAAAACGAAATGTGTGACCCTATCGTCGTTACATCTTATCCGAAGCTCAACACCTGAACATTGGACAGATAGTATGAATATTGTATACAGTTATATGGCTTTGCCATATCGATCTGGTTAGTTTTCTTTGAAAGTTATCAAAGGGAGCTTACTTCTGTTTATGTATATAAACATATGGATCCCTGCTTTCTCGAACAGTTGATCAATTGTATTTCACAATTATTTACTGATTACATAACTAACTAAACTAAATTTACTTCATATTTGATTGTTGTTTGATTAGCTCTACATACGTATACATGTTGTTTATTGTTTAATATTACATAAAAAAACATACCATCAATATGAAAGTGGGCTGTAAGTAACAGTCAGAAAATCCAGTAATTGTCCAATGAACATCAAGTTGTGAGATGATTCTAGGTATATCGGAGTGTCCGCGTAAAGGCAGGGGGGAGCCCGAAGTGATGTCTCAAATGTTGAACATTTTTGTGACCCCCTGAAGCACGGGTATGCTGCTGACAAACCTAGAAATTATAATCAGGCTAAACGGGACCTGAATCCAAGAAACTGCAAAAGAAGAGCCAGTTCAAGACAAGTCAAAACATTTGGTATTTCTAAATTCTACACCACTCTCTCTCTCACATGGCAAAGTATAAACGAAAACATTTTTTAATCCATTGGGCATTTATTTTTTCATTATTATTCATTATAGGATATTTATATAGCGCACATATCCACGCAACTAGTACATGCTCACGGCGCTGGAGTGCTCCCTTGATCAACAGATGTCTTTTTTCTGGCATTCTTTGAACCAACTCATCTCCCTGCTGAGTATTTAACTCATGCAGCCTGTTAAGCGCAGAGGGTTATCACACATCCTATAGACAAGCTTACATCTATGTCTTTAAAGGTTCAGGTCAATTACATTGGTCGAAAAGAGCAAATATCATCTGAATGTTAGTAAGAAAACTATGTGTGAATAGTTTCTCATCAAACACATCTTTGAGAAAGTTGTGGGGAAATGATATTCAATAGTAGGCATCCCAATGTCCACCAGTAGTGTTCCTTGTTGTTAATTTGCAAAGGAATTTGAAGATCTGGCAGCTTGGGTTGCTGCGAATGAAGTCCAGTTCTTTATATTCCACAAATTCCTTCAGAAACCATCACTCACTTCCAGAAACAGTCTTGGGTCAATTATCTCCCTCTGCGACGATACACCCGAGTCATCAGAGACTAGAAGTGTACAGCTGACTACTATCTCAGGCTTAGTTTACGAGAACACGCGCACGGCAATATTGATTCCTGCATTTAAAACACTGTCAAGAACAAGATTTGCAATGAAATGATAAATCATCGTGATAAGTGAAGTTTTAAAACGAGGTGAGGTGAGGTGAAATTGGGTTTAACGTCGTGCTTGAGAATATTTCGCTCATATGACGACGTGCATGCGTGTGTATGTGTATGTGCGGCTGCTTGTACTAGCCCAGACTAAAGCTGGTTTATAGTGCTAGCCCACTGAGATACCATGCCGCAGTGAAGCAGGAATACCACACTCAGACACATTATACTGACTCCGAGCCGACCAGTCCTTGTTGTACCAATTAATGCCGAGCGCCAGGCAGGGACCAACAAGTACCATATTTTAACGTCTTTTGGTATGACGCGGTCGGGGATCGAACCCGCGACCTTCCGCTCTCTTTTAAAACGAAATGTAACTTTTGATTAACCATTTTTCTCCTCGTCTCTTCCTCTACATTTACAGGAAGCCTTTCGTACTTATCAAATAAGTTATTCGAATAATCTCTTGAACCATGATATAATAGAGGTTGCTTCCTAGAAATTGGTTGCGGGATGTTACTTACGAGATACTCAGAAATTCGTTTATCGGACAATATTTGAGAGAACGAAGGGTCCGGATGAACTACACAACTGTATTCGAAATCTGCCATCTTCATAACGAAGATCAGACAATAGAGAACCCGTGAAAATCCGGGTCATCTATCCCGATTACGAAGATCGATGCTCATGATACTGATCACTGGATTGTCTAGTCCAAACTGGATTATTTTCAGACCGCCGGCAATATAGCTGGGATATTGCTGTGAACTAAGCTCACTCTCACACTCAGTGTCTCGGTGCTGTTTACCTGCTTAGTAGAGGCATAAGTTTGTACTTCTTCATTACGCTAAAATGGATGCAGCACTGCTGTCTGTACATGTTCCGACCCAACGGGATATCTGGACCTTACGTTTGCAATGTCCCGGGGACTGTTTATCACAGAAATGTTTTAATTGCGTTTGTAATTTATTGGTTAAATCCAGGTCAAAGTTCGGGGGTATAACTTTCACACACAACACAGTTCATTCTTTAAAATATATGTCATATTTATGTGTAATATATGAGTTTATTAGTATCATATTTATTTATGAAATGTCGTTTTCTCAACCGTACATCACACTGTTACCCTGTTGATCTGCAAGCTGAAAGAAAACATTAACCGGGAATGAAATCAAACTCAGTATGAAACCAACAAACAGCAAACCAATGTGATATAATTAACAGCGGTATTCTAAAATAATTAATATTTACAGTGTTTTTATTATTTTGTTATTGGTTCCCAAGATTGCAATGTCAAATATATGTTACAGTGAATATGTCAAATCAGTGATTTTGCAAAATCACTGAAATTTTCAGTGATTTTACAATATCACTGATTTGATATATTCACTGTAACATATATACCAAACTGTGATGCATACAGATAAATGATGTACATGTATTATATCAATATCATACTAATAAACATATATATAAAAGAGGAAAATGATATCACATATGGGTACGTTTGAAAGTCATCTAAGTACTATGAAGACACGGCCCCATTTGTGATTGAATTTTTATATTTCTTTATTTTCTTTTGGATACATGATTTTTCACAAAGAATATTTCCTTCAGAGTTTTTATAAATAAAGTTATATTGATGCATAAATATGTCCTTTGCAGCAATGATGATATGATATAGTGATCTATTTTGATGTAGAGTACCAAACCAAACCATATGTTTTGATAATAGCAATGGTTGAGGGTTTAAATTGTTAAGCCTAAAAATTACAAATTAATCCAAATCAATCGAAAGGTATAATTGAGGCAGTATAAAATCAAGTGGCAGTACAATTTCAAAGGCAGTGTAATACGAAAGCAGTGATCAAAGCAATAAAGACAGAGATGGCGATATTTACCTCAGTGCTACTGTGGTCAAGTCAGAAAAAAGGCCCTGGCTCAGTATTGAGGGAAAGAATGATCACCAAACAATTGTTGGTCTTCTTGTAACTTGAGATGTCATATGAAATGAAATGAAAGATGTAGCTCCCCTTATAAACCTACGGAATAGACTCCAGAAGATTCTCCACCATTTTGGGTTAGAGTACATGTATAGTGGAAAGGCGCGTACAAAGTTATTCACTTGAAATGATGTTACACAATGAATACCATTAACACATAATAACTGTTTGTAAGAAATAGAAATGACAAGTCTTTATGGATGATCAACTACTAACATTGTGGAATGGCGACATTTCGGTATAGATAGTGTACCGGTATACGTATCTATACCGAAACGTCACTATTGTACAGTAAAGAATTTAAAGACTTCTCATTCCTAACACATAATATGTTGAACACAAACATCGAGGTATGGCAACGTTTATACATCACTTCAGGCTTTCCTTCCATCTATACATCGCTTCAGTCTTTCCTCCCACCTATACATCACTTCAGTCTTCACTCCCATCTATACATCACTTCAGTCATTCCTCCCATCTATACATCACTTCAAGCTTTCCTCCCATCTATACATCACTTCAGGCTTTCCTCCCATCTATACATCACTTCAGACTTTCCTCCGATCTATACATTACTTCAGTCTTTCCTACCACCTATACATCACTTCAGTCTTTCCTCCCACCTATACATCACTTCAGACTTTCCTCCGATCTATACATCACTTCAGGCTTTCCTCCCACCTATACAACACTTCAGGCTTTCCTCCCACCTATACAACACTTCAGGCTTTCCTCCCATCTATACATCACTTCAGGCTTTCCTCCCATCTATACAACACTTCAGGCTTTCCTCCCACCTATACATCACTTCAGGCTTTCCTCCCATCTATACATCACTTCAGGCTTTCCTCCCATCTATACATCACTCACTCAGGCTTTCCTCCCATCTATACATCACTTCAGGCTTTCCTCCCACCTATACATCACTTCAGGCTTTCCTCCCATCTATACATCACTTCAGGCTTTCCTCCCATCGATACATCACTTCAGGCTTTCCTCCCATCTATACATCACATCACTCCAGGCTTTCCTCCCATCTATACATCACTTCAGGCTTCCACCTATACTCTCCTCCATCTATACATCACTTCAGGCTTTCTTCCCACCTATACAACACTTCAGGCTTTCCTCCCATCTATACATCACTTCAGGCTTTCCTCCCATCTATACATCACTTCAAGCTTTCCTCCCATCTATACATCACTTCAGGCTTTCCTCCCATCTATACATCACTTCAGGCTTTCCTCCCATCTATACATCACTTCAGGCTTTCCTCCCATCTATACATCACTTCAGGCTTTCTTCCCACCTATACAACATTCCATCTATCAGGCTTCAGGCTTTCCTCCCATCTATACATCACTTCAGGCTTTCCTCCCATCTATACATCACTTCAGGCTTTCCTCCCATCTATACATCACTTCAAGCTTTCCTCCCATCTATACATCACTTCAGGCTTTCCTCTCACCCACTCATCACTTCAGGCTTTCCTCCCACCTATACATCACTTCAAGCTTTCCTCCCATCTATACATCACTTCAGGCTTTCCTCCCACCTACACAACACTTCAGTTTTCCTCCCATCTATACATCACTTCAGGCTTTCCTCCCACCTATACAACACTTCAGGCTTTCCTCCCATCTATACATCACTTCAGGCTTTCCTCCCATCTATACTACACTTCAAGCTTTCCTCCCATCTGTACATCACTTCAAGCTTTCTCCCATCTATACATCACGCATTATGGATGTATATTTATAAAAACAGGTATTAATTCAGTGTATTATCATATATTCTGAATAATTATCATGACACATCAGCACTGTTGTACATACATATCTTGTTCTGTATTGTAACAAGTATAAGGCCATCCACAAATGCTTTTGTCTCGAAGGACGGTCACTGGTTTTGGACAGCTGGTGTAAATGTATATAGTGATGATGTTGGTGTCATTGAAGGTTATACAGCTTATAGAGAAGTGAAATATGAGTGCTTTGCAAAACTTTTATACAGGCATGAAGTGAGTGTGTGGGTTTAGTTTTACACCGCACTCAGCAACATTCCAGCGATATGGTGGCGGTCTATAATAATCGAGTCTGAACCAGAAAATCCAGTGATCAACAGCATGAACATTTATCTACGCAATCGGGATATCATAACATGTGTCAACCAAGTCAGCTAGTCTGACCACGGAATTCCGTTAGTTGCCTCTTACGACAAGCATGGGTTACTGAAGATCAATTCTAACCCGGAACTTCACGGGTCTATACAGGCAGTGAAACTTGTACATTCAGCAGGACATGTTCTTGACTTCACAAACCATACATTTTATATGAAATCGTACAATCAGGTTTGAAAATGAATAGTGGCGCGATCCTGAGGTATAATCCAATGTCCTATAAAAACCGTGCACACCCACGAGACCGATGACTTAACATATAAATTTGAGAATTTCTGAAACCTGGATATAGAATGAGATAAAAATGGGATTGTTAGATTACCTGAGGACAGATGGTATACCGTACACACACCCAGTTCATGACGCAAGAAGTAAAATATTTATAAAAAGTCAATAAGATCATAAAGAAACGGAACATTCATGAATCGAGAATCTGTAATGTCATAAAATAATCTATTTTTTATTCAGAGAAATAAAACAGTAAATATATGCTTGAGGATAGATATCAATGAGTTATCAGCGATTTCTGAGTGAGTGAGTGAGTGAGTTTAGTTGTACGTCACTTTTAGCATTATTCCAGCAATATCACAGCGGGTGACACCAGAAATGGGCTTCACACACTGTACCCATGCGGGGAATCGAACCCTGGTCTTTGGTTTGAAGAGCGAACACTTTACCCACTAAGCTACCCCATCACCACAACTCGGTTTTAAGCAGTAACTAACTGACAGTAACCCATATCTGATGTTCTCCGCCGAGATATTGCAGAAAGATTGCTAAAAGCAGCGTAAAACTATACCCACTGTCCAAAAACTGGGTTAGAAACTAGTTCACCGGATTAAAAGATCTAGTTATATGTGTAGGATTATCAGTTTGTCTTAGGGCACATCCCCAAAGCTTCGATCATGGGGTATAAAATTGACAGAAAGTCACTACAACAGATGCTAAATAAAAACCATCCAATTAAAAAAATCATTATTTCTTTGTCAACATTTGGTATCGCCAGTAACAGATTGTGATTCAAACGATGCTCATAATTAAGTCGAAATGGTTCACTGCGTTTAGCAAAGATATACTATTTAAAAATGAAAATTTTTTGCGTTTACAGCTAATATTTCCAAATGTGTAAGACCCGTTGTTAAGAGATAATTTCCAACTTGAGGTTAACATGAACATTTTGGTCGCATTGAACAAAATCATTAATAAATGACCACACAAGATCGGTGAATAATCAGTGAATTATTCGGATAGAACAGAACTAGTTAAAAATATATATTTCTTCTGAAATTAAATAGAGCATTCATATGTACTTATGAATTCATCTCCTTGGCGTTAAGGTCGTGATTTATAATGTGTATACTAGTGTTTGTAAGTTTGTTTTGAGTACCATAATTCTACATATGGTATTAGAACGTGAACATCAGATATTAATTGTTTTGATCATCGTAAACAACGCTAACGTATTACCATGGCTTGCTGTAAACTGGACCCTGTAAACTAGTGTCCACGCACTGGGTGTGCTGTAAACTGGACCCTGTAAACTAGTGTCCACACACTGGGTGTGCTGTAAACTGGACCCTGTAAACTAGTGTCCACGCACTGGGTGTGCTGTAAACTGGACCCTGTAAACTAGTGTCCACGCACTGGGAGTGCTGTAAAACAGGAATTGCAGAAAACGATGTTACTAGATGCACAATTTTAACTGGAAGGTGATTTCTGTTGCGTTGTTGTGATGCCTGTTTAATCCTTGTAAGAAATCTCATCAAAATCAACATTTTCCGGTAAAGTCAATTTTTTGTGTGCAATTGTGTAAAATCATGTTATCAACACTTTTTACAACATATTTGACGATTATTTGAACACAGTAGGTAATTAATATATTTTAAAAAGTACAAAACGCCTATGCGGTTTTTTTGTGTGGATAGTTTATGTTACCATTAACCACAGCAAAGGAACATATCCACCACAGGAAAGGAACATATCAAACACCCATTAAAATTCAATGTAGATAAACTGACTCTCAAGGATTATGGCAAATGGCGAATTTAAATGCAAAAAGAACGAAAACTGCAGTTTATTCAGAGAAGCAAACATGGCAAAACACTGCCTAATTTTGTAGTGTTGAAAACTATGGTCGCATGACATTAACGAGTGCGGTCATACTAGCGACTATACAATCCTCCAGAAACCACATACCTATAAATCACTGAGCACGAAGTCAATTCTCTTGTGTAGCCAAGTGCTATGATATTCCTGACGCTCCTTTCAGGGTCTGTAGCAGACTTTGACGTTGAATATTGCGTTCTATTCCTGATCGAGGGATTGTTCTTATGCACCAGGACTTACTTGGTGTACTGGAGGATCTCTTATACGTATTCTGCGACCTATAATGTCCAAAACATGCTGTATGGGATTGTGATGTGGACACACGGCGGGCCAAGATGACTTGCCATCACCTGTTAACCGACTGCATGTGCACGGTGTGGTCTTGTATTGTCGTCCGTGAATACTGGCATTGTGTTCAGAGGATGGCCATGGAAATGTGGTACAACAGCTCTGTCTAGGATATCAGTGATGTACCGTTGCCCATTCAGTTGTTTGCCTGATCGTCACAAGGTCAAGTTTACAGTCATGTGAGAGGCACTCTGCGACGCCAAACAAGAAATCGAATTTCATTCCATCAGTGACGTCATTCCAGTGACGTCGACCTTGACATCAAGCTAGTCGTACTGTATTTTGCTCTGCGGATGTCTGGTAGATCGTCTGGCTTCATACACGGCCACCTTTAGGCGTGTTCGGGTCGTTCAGTAGTATTTCATCTGTTGGTTTGATGCGGAAGCTACTCTTCTTAACACGCACTTGACATGAAGGGATGAAGTCTTTTGGATGTTAGAATGGTTGTATCCTCCCAAGGAATTGTCACTCGCGGTCGACCAGGGCTCCGTTGTAAAAAGCGATCTTAGCGCTAAGGTGATCGTAACTCCCATAGCACGTTTATAAACATATAGTCAATATATATACTTCCCATCAAAAGTTAAGACTCACTTAAAACACTCACTATATGTTATGTATATACATCGAGGATTGATTTCTTCACTAACTTGGGGGAACCAACTCCAAACATTATGCAGATGAATTGCACGAGGATCATGCATCAAATTGCTGAAAAGCATGTGCAGATAGCGTGCATGTGAACAGCTGCGTTTTAGTGTAAAGTTTTGTTAAGAATTCGCCAATTTTCACTGATTTTTATCATTTACTGAACTCGTGACAATAATCTTTTCCAAGTTACGAATTTGTTTTACAATACATCAGTTCATGTGTAAACAGTACCGATTAACAGTATGGAATATTTTATAAAATTTAGTTCAGAATAGTTGCCTGAAGTAAGTGGCTATACGTACACAAGTGAGTGAGTCTAAACTTTTGATGGGAAGTATGTGACTGTTTTATATGAATCAGTATTACCTGCATATATAGATGTATACAATACAGTATCCACAAGCAAATAAAATGTGGACAAAACAAATCAGTTGCTTGAGCGATTATCTGAGTTTCTGAGTGTCAAATATGATAAGTGAATAAAATAAATCATCCATTGATTTTGTCAGTTGTCATTGTACATGAGAAAAAGGTGAGCTACGTGCGAAATATTTTTATACAATATTTCAACTTATTTTGTTTGTCGGCCAAGTAGGGCTTTTATCATGCTTGGCCTTCTTATTCCATACTGCCATTTAATGAATAAGTGGACTTGATTCCTGCAACCATGACCTGCCAGAGATAAGGAACTAATCAGCCTCTTGTTCAATAAATAGTTGATACGGATGCTCTTGTTAACTTTCTTGATTTTGATACAACTGACCTATGGCACATGACGTAATAATTTTCTTTGCATTTGTTTATGATGTGAAAGGATATTCTCATTTCCTTTTAGTGTGTGGGGCGGTGGGGTAACCTAGTGGTTAAAGCGTTGGCTCGTCACGCCGAAGACCAGGGTTCGAATCCCCACATTGGTACAATGTGTGAAGCCCATTTCTGGTGCTCGCCGCCTTGATGTTGCCTGAATGTTGCTAAAAGCGGCGTAAAACCAAACTCAGTCAGTCAGTCAGTCCTTTTAGTGTGTACTGCAGACAGTTCTTTGCGCACTAAATATATTCCTGTCAAGTTTATACATACCCTTCTTGTCACATTTCAATGTATTGATGACCTCAAACAATACTTTTGTCATCAGAAATGTAGCAATGTTTTTTGTTTATGCTGCAGAGCACCGCCAATGAAATATGGCATCAAATATGTAATATTTGTATTTGTATTATGGGCCGATGGCCTACATATACACGCTGTGAATAAAGAAAATCGGATATTATTATACATAACCACTGTTTAGAAGTGACTCTTAAACACATGCTCAGTGGCGTGAAAACAGTTGGTCTCTCAGAACAGAACTTTTACAAATAGTGAAAGTAATTTGTTGATTATACTCACAAATCACAGATATACATTTTAAAATCATTTTTTCTGCGCAGTAGAATTATTGTCACCCTTGGCAATTAATTTCACCTGGCTTTTTATGATTAGATTTCATTGGCCGAAAATGTGCTCAGTTACCCGGATGACTGATGAAAAAAGTTACCCGGATGAAAAATAATCCTATAAATAAGTGGCGATCGAAGGAGTCTAATCATTCAGGGAAGATGTCTCTATCACTGAGCATGAAGTCGACCGGCGCCCTACTTCTGGTGTTAATAGCTATAAGCTACACAGCTGTAGATGCCTTCCGCTGGAGGTTCCCTTTTCGCCGACGATGCGAATATAGAACAGGTAAGAAATGGCAGCAGTACATTTATTTACACATGTTTAAGACTGACTGACTGAGTTTGGTTTTACGCCGCTTTTAGCAATATTCCAGCTACATCACTGCGGGGGGACACCAGAAATGGGCTTCACACAGTGTACCCATGTGGGGATTCGAACCCGGGTCTTCGGCGTGACGAGCCAACGCTTAAACCACTAGGCTACCCCACCGCCCCTACATGTTATAGAGAGAGACATAGCCAATTGTTCAGCATTCAAGGCCTTCGGCTCAGATTACAGCATGCTATATAAATATATTGGTTACTTGGAACAAATAGATATTTTGTACCTTATAATGTACAATAACGACATATTTTTAAACAGGTGGATAGAAATAGAGCAAAACATTTAAGATGTGTGCAGTCGGAGGCCTCAAGAGATATATCCTTCTTTTTTTCATCTAGTCCATGCATTTGTTTGAGTGGCATTCTAGAAGTTGGTGGTATAGAGATGACAAGACTGTATGGATGATCAACTTCTTTATTTTGACAATGGCGACGTTTTGGTACAGATTTGTATACGTGTCGGTATAGTTGCTTGAAAACGGCATAAGAATCTATACCGAAAACGTCGCCGTTGTCAAAATAAAGCAGTTGATCATCCATAAAGTCTTGTCATCTCTACTCCATGGAGTATTAATTTTAAGCTGTACTATATTAGAACTGTAGTATTGTAATGAAGGTGTAGTCGTTACCTGTGGAGTGTTTATCACGTTTGCGTCGTGCCACGGTAAAATTGCTACTGTGTAACAGCTTAATCTTGGACCCGTGAAGATCCGGGTTAGTATTGATGTTCAGCAACCCATGCTTGTCGTAAGAGGCCACTAACGGGATCGGGTGGTCAGGCTCGCTGGCTTATTTGACCATCGTACATGTCATCGTATCCCAATTGCCCAGATCGATTTTCATGCTGTTGATCACTGGATCGTCTGGTTCACTAATCTTGAGATATAGAGTTGGGAAACAGTCCGTATACACTCGAAAATGAACAAAAAATATGAAAACTTTACTGGGCCGAAAAAGGGTCGCCGAAAAGCTGCAAACGTCTGGTCAATACACTTTGGTGCCAAAACATCACATGCAATAAAAAAAGAAAAAAAGACAAAGTGTCACTACTAAATCCTAATGCTGCAACGTTTGTAGCATAGAATATATATTTATATTATTATTATAGGATATTTATATAGCGCACATATCCATGCAACCATTGCTTGCTTAAGGCGCTGGTATTTGTTTCCCTCGATCATTGGATGTGAATCTCAAAGTCACATCGTGTTATCAATCTCAACTCGCTGGGAGTAATACAACTCATGCTGCCACTAGGCGCACCGAGTTTATTGTGGCTCTCTCATCCTAACGAGGTACCCAATTCACAGCTGGGTGGACTGGGACACACAGTCACAGTACTTTGTCCAAGTTCACTGCACGTTGCTGTACCCACAACTAGGTGTTTGCACGTATTCATGCGGCCACCATCTGGTCATATACCAACGGATTCGTGGGTTCTTTTAAGTGCACAGGGTTGTGTACTGTACACTAGGGGTTGTGACAACACGGAAAGAGTCTGCACACAAAGTTGACTCCAAGGTTTTTACACTCGGTCACAGGTGGGCTCGATCCCGACACCTTCAACCTCGCTGGATCACTAGCCTGGCGCTTTAGCCAGCATCGCCCATTGCTTCCATGTTTTTGTCGGTGCTTGGGAGTATTTTCTCATTATTTCAATCATTTTTTCACTGCCTCGATGGAAGACGATGCTCTAAATATATCCATCACTAGATTGCCTGCCCCAAACTCTGTTATTCACAGACCGCCGCATATAGATTAAATATTAAGAAACAGGGGTTAAATGATGAAGAAACACATATTACTAGGTACATTACTATTCAAGTACATTAGTACACTACATTTATGAATTATTGACTCTTTTTATTTTATCTTTGTCACAGACTAACCCCGTATGACAGTCACAAAATGACACATGTTTCCCCATGTATGCATTCATGTGGAAATGGAAATATTAAACCGTGTAGAATAGATAGTTAAATACCATCACGCTCTGAGTGGCAATGTAAATTCCCTTTATGGAGCATGTTTCATCTCGAATCTATTAATTAATATGAATTGCTAAACGCCTATGTTTATTGTGAGTTACAGGTATCAAAGTTCCCATGGTCCCTGTTATGGTGATCTCCCCTTAGCTGCTGGTGACCTACAACCAGTTTTTATATTGTACTGTTAAATATAATGATATATTGTATGGTTACATACTAGTTTAAATACCCGTGAAGGTCCGGGTTAGAATATTGATCTTCAGTAACCCATGCTTGTCGTAAGAGGCGACTAACGGGATCGGGTGGTCAGGCTCGCTGGCTTGGTTAACACATGTCATCGGTTCCCAATTGCGTAGATCGATGCTCATGTTGTTGATCACTGGATTGTCTCTTCCAGACTCGATTATTTACAGACCGCCGCCATATAGCTGGAATATTTCTGAGTGCGGCGTAAAACTCAGCTCACTCTCTCACTCACTAGTTTTAAAACAACACCTGTGATAGTGTAGTTATTTTACAGTCCTTTGGTGACTAGATTTAACTGGGTATGCAAAACGTTAGCAGAATGGCTGAAATACTTCCGGTGTGACTCTAAAGTTAAACTCACTGACTATTCGTATCTGAACGATACGAAAATATACATCTTAGTACTGAAAGTGTAATCAGAAGGATAGTGTTTACTCTTTTTCAACCGACCTTCACCTCAAAGAAATTGCCTAATATGTACAACAATGTTGACGTATGCCATCACAACCGATAACTGACTTCTTACAAAAATGGCGGCTTCGCTGACAAGGGTACACAGGATTTTGCGAAGAGTCTTCCCTTGAATCAGGGATCGTTTGTACATAAATATGAGATGTAAGTAATCTGAGTGACTCTGACTATCTGTGTATTGTTATATGTTTTCATCGTTTTCATTGTAAGTAAAGAAGAAGCCAGAAATGCTGATAATTATCGTTGTCGATCTGCGTGATTTTGCGTCTGTTATGGCGTCTCGTTGCACGGACACATTGACAATTTCTTATGAAGTATCAAATCATTGCGTTGTATCTATTTTTAATTTCCTCTTTCTTGCTATGATACTCTTTCCATGCATATTCTAAAGGTATTGAGCCATTGCAAGCAATAAATAGCTGGCTGGCTGTCGGAAAATTGTAAAAAATGCTACGTAGTGTAAAATCGGAAAATTTCTTTGTTTACATTTCAAACCAGCGCAGTCTTCCGAGCACAACGTTTGTGCTCACACCCAATATGTCTAAACAGTTGGTATTGGTGACAAAGACCATTTGTAATTTGGCTTTAAAATTTATGGGGAATTCAGTAATGCATTTGTCGCAGCTAACTGTGAAATATACCTGATGTAATAGGCGTCTCAATACCGGCCTTCGAGAGACTTGATTTTGTAAACACTATCCAATATGGCGGAAAGCGCACTTTGGCGTTCGTGTAAGACTATTTTCGAAAACATCCCAACCCAGCAGCATTTCATATTTATCATTAGTGATATCATGAAAAACTGATTTCGGTGATCATTAATATGTTATTTTTGAAATTCAATACTCCCAGTAATTATCCGATTTTCACATATGAAAACATACTGTACAGCAAATAATGCTGTGAATCGTGATTTCGTATTGTGTCAAAAATGGCGATATTTACGGTGAAGCCTATTTTGAAAGGTTATTTTAAGTACTTTAGCTTTGCCTGAGATAATAGTGGATGTAGATAATAGTGGATGTAGATAATAGTGGATGTAGATAATAGTGGATGGTATCAAGAAACAGGGAAATTCCCGCAGAATACATAACTGTGAAGTGTATTTGTGTGCGTGATATATTTAGAATTTAATTGGACTTCAAAGTGAGGGTTGAAGAGGAAGGACATATGTCCCTGTGGCACCAAGGGTTTTTTAATCAAGTTCAGAGACTCGGCAAGAGCACTAGTGGTGTCGCGGAGTATTTTGACACACTAGCTCGGGATACTCCATGGAGATCCCCGATTTCACTGAGAAAGGGCCTGAGTGTACACAACACTTGCAGGGAGGTCGGAATAGCATGTAAATGCTGTGTAGGTTTGTTCAGTTGGGGCTCTAACTTTCTGCACAGTTATAGAAAACAACATGCCTAGGAAATCTATATCTCGACATCATGTCAACATCATCCAGAGTGTCGAGCACGTTCGACCTGTCTCAAAAATTCTCAGGTCTTCTTTGTTAGCATGTTTTAATCACTTGCAGTGTCACAATCGTTGACGCCATCTCTGTAGTGTTGACGACCTCCTAAAGCATTTACGACAGGTCAATCGGGGTCCTAAAGTTTGAACTGTTTACAGCACAGTGTAAATACACGAGGTCTTTGTGAAACAGGGTAAAAAAGTAAGAGGTGGTCTACGACCTGCTTTACTAGGTCGTACCGGTAAGAGGGCTTTGTGAAACGGGCCCCTGGGTCGAACATGAAACATGGTATCCAGACTGTACATATTTGTCCCTGGTGTGAGTACCAAAAGACGTTAAAATATGGTACTTGTTGGTCCCTGTCCCTGTCTGGCGCTCGACATTAATCGGTACAACAAGGACTGGTCGGCTCGGAGTCAGTATAATGTGTCTGAGTGGGGTATTCATGCTTCACTGTGGCATGGTATCTCAGTGGGCTAGCACTATAAAACCAGTCTGAGCTAGTACAAGCAGCCGCACATACACATACACACGCATGCACGTCGTCATATAAGCGAAATATTCTCAAGCATGACGTAAAACCCAATTTCACCTCACCTCACCTCAGAAAGAGGTGGCCCGCTTGGGTAGTCATGTGGATTTATGTTTGTAACTTAGAGTGTGATGTAAAATACTGTACATTTTTATTTGTGAATATTGACAATAAATCAATATTAACAGTATATTTGCGTTGATTGT